CATATGCGCCTCCAGCCGGGGAACAATCCAATGCTCAACACATTGTAAGGATACAAAGTTCTCCGCATTTATGCTAGAACCACATCTTGTCTACTCCGTATAATCTTTACAGAAACGTTTAATTCTCCCACACGGAGAGGGAATTTGCTGGACTTGGCCGAATCTACCCCTGATTACATAACCAAATTGGCGAGCTTACTAATCCAAAACCAAGCATCACGTGCAATATTCCGCCGCAGCGATCCTATTGGCCGGAACCTCTGATGCAACTTTTCGGTGGAAAAGGGGACGATATAATTCGCGTACCACGAAGAAAGCCAAGCTTACCAGTCTCGTACGAACAATTGATCGCTAGTCGATCGATGACAGCTCCTGGAAGAGCAACGAAAAGCTACTATGGGATCGAAATTCACCGTTTAATGGAAGAAGCCCGGGACACGCGGAGCAAGGACAAAAGATCGCACAATGTCCCCAAGCTACATCAGTCTGTGGAGTCACCATCGGGATATCAAGCTCAAGCAGGGAGAAATACTCTATGGACGGAGAAGTATCGAGCACGGAGATTCAAAGATCTCATCGGTGACGACCGAACCCATCGCGCGGTTTTGCGGTGGTTGAAAGGCTGGGATCCTATCGTTTTTCCTAGTTTGGCCAAATCAAAGGCGCAAAATAAGACGGCCGATTTAGAAGAGCCTAATACCCACCGTAAAATCCTCTTGTTAACTGGCCCTCCCGGCCTAGGAAAAACAACATTGGCTCATGTCTGTGCGAAACAAGCTGGCTACGAGGTTTTGGAAATCAATGCTAGTGATGAGAGAAGCCGAGACGTGGTCAAAGGGCGCATAAAGGACGCAGTTGGCACAGAAAACGTGAAAAGTGTCAGTGTCATAGCCGATGGAAGACAGATTCGAAAGCCCGGGAGGCCAGTCTGCGTGGTGGTAGATGAAGTCGATGGTGTCGTCGGTGGCTCAGGAGGAGGAGAAGGGGGGTTTATGAAAGCACTGATCGACCTCGTCACATTGGATCAAAAGAATTCTAAAAGGTCCCCGACAGACTCGACGAATAACACCAAAAAGAAAAAAGGTGATAAGTTCAGGCTTATGCGGCCTTTAATTCTTATTTGCAACGACGTTTATCACCCCAGTCTTCGCCCGCTTCGGACTTCCTCCATCGCAGAAATCATCCATGTCCGCCAAGTACCGCTGGACCAAGTCGTCCAAAGGATGAAGCATGTTTTTGAAAAGGAGGGGATTTCTTGTGATGGCGATGCTGTCAGGAGAATCTGCGAAGCTTCTTGGGGATTGAGCGCTACCAGGGATCGTCAAGTGAAATCTCGCGGAATAAGCGAGGGCGATATCAGAGGCGTGCTTGTGGCCGGTGAATGGATAGCTCGCAAACTACGCTATGCGGGCTCCTTGTCGTCAAACATGAGACTTACAAGAGCATGGGTGGAACAGCATATACTAGGGGAATCTTCAAAAGACGGCTCTATTCCAGGCCTTGGGCGTGGAGGAACAAAAGAAATCGTTGAACGCGTATTCCTAGAGGGAGCTGGGTTCTCATACGACCGTGTAGGAAATAAAAGTTTCAAAGACCCGTACGGCACAAACAGTGATACTATTACGCCCGTCGGCGTCGCGGACCTCCGTAAACGCCATGCAATCAATCGGCTGACAGAAATGGTGGATGCTACGGGTGAATATGACCGCTGCGTTGCCGACTGTTTCCTCACATATCCCACAAAAGCTTATCAAGACGATACATTTCTCTCGAAGCCAAATGCTGCATACGAATGGTTGCATTTCCACGATTTAGCAACGTCGAGGATGTATGCAAACCAAGACTGGGAACTGAATAAATACTTGAGCCAAACGGTTATTGCGTTCCACCACCTGTTTTCTTCTCCGAATAGAGCCAACCTGGCAGAGCGGAAAAGTGAGAAAAGTGAAGAGGAACATCCGTTTTTGAGCCCAAGAGCAGATTATACTGCCTTTGAAATCGAAAAGCAAAATCGTGCCATTCTGACGGAGTTTAAATCCACGCTCTCGGCTCCGTTACTGCGAATATTCCTTTCTCCAGGGACAATTGCTACGGAACTTGTCCCAAACTTGATGCGAATGTTAGCGCCCGAAATCAAGCCGGTGATAGTAGGCGGTAGCGGAAGTGAGCGTGGCATTGCTAGCGTGCGAAAGGAAAGTGAACGGGCTCTCGTACAGTCTGCCGTAAGGGTGATGAATGGACTGGGTGTCACGTTTGAACGAACAAGAGTTGAAGTCGAGAGCGGGGCTCATGGTGGATGGGTATATCGAATGGAGCCGTGAGTATTCATCGTTGTCAGATTCTTTTCAGGGCGCTCTCTAACAATGCTGTCACAGAGCCCTCGACTCCCTTGCTAGTTTCTTCAATACAAAGGGGACGTCTATGGCCTCGGCAGGATCCTCAGCGCCGGTTCGCTACGCCGTGCGGCAGGTTTTAGATCAAGAATATAGGAAAGATCTTCTAAAACGCCAGGCACAATCCAGACAGGATCGATATGATAACCCGCGCTCTCTCGCAAGTAAGAGAAGCAACAATACCGAACAGTCAAAGGAGAACCAGGGCAGCGATGCCAAAAGCTCGCGGCTGACGGGCCCGAAACGAGATTTTTTCGGCCGCGTCATTGTGAATAGCGAATCGCTGCCTAGCAGGAGTACGGAGGAGGGAAAGAACCAGAAGCTTGATGGCCAGAAACAACGGGATGAGAAGAAGGTTTGGGTTAGCTATCACGAAGGGTTTTCTAATGCAGTGCGGAAACGAATTACTATGCATGAGCTGATGTCCGGATTTTAATGACAAGGAGCCGATGTAAATATTAACTGTGCAATCAAATGAACTACCTGGTTATGAAGTCTTCTTTTCCTCCATATTTGTCTTGCAGTTGTTGGGGATGTCTGTACCTTCGTATTTCCTCGATGCCATCTGACGTTGTTGTCCAACTTGTTTGCTTGGTCTCCAATCCATCAGGCAACCATACTTGACCAAGCATTTACTCTATGTGGAGCCGTATGCACGCCCTTCAAGGCAGCCGCATCAAATCAGTCAGAAATAGAACACCTTGTGGGCTCTAGAGCAGAAGGACATTTCGTATGGTCCGAAATCGGATAATGGTTATTTCATCACTTGTTCAATTGCACCAGTCGAGGTGCACTCTAAGTTGAGAAAATAATGAGAAAGTCCAGAAAAGTAGGTTTCAATTAGTACTTGTATAAATAATTAAAGTAATTGAAAAATAGAAATAGAAAGTCAATATCCAAACCCAACACCTCAGCGAGCCCGACTAGTTTGGTATAGAAAACACCCGAACTCCTCAGCCTTCTATGAAGATTCATGACTTTTAAGGCATTAGCACTTCGGCTTTGTAGATGGCCGTGCGATAGCAGGCCCTATCTCATCTCAAGGCAAAATACCTGGCTCGTGCTTCCATGGTTACGGCTTGAGTCGTCGAGGTTGATTTAAATTTTTTAGGCGACGGCGAAGGTGCAAGTGACTTGTCTCGACGAAACAGTGCCTTTAGTGATGACATGCTTGTGGACGTAGTAGACGAGGTATCTGTTGAAGTCCGGCGAGGCGTCGAGCGAGATGACTTCTCTCTTGCATTGGCAAGGACTGGATAATAATTGAGAGTGAAGTCGGTCGCGTTGGAGGCCATTGTGACGGGTTGCTCTGAGGAATTGGTTGTTGTCGAGTCCAGGGTTCTAGATATCTATCAGTTTGTTGAAAATCAGAATTGGTAACGCCTGATTTCAACATACAAGCTTGATGGAGTCTTTGAAGAAAGTGAATAAGCCAAAGTCGAGTCTTGACGATAGAGATAAAAGAGAAGGCTTCTTTATGAAGGCGATATTAGGATATCTGAAATGGATAGCTGTACTATGAGTACAACTTAGTGCTTTGTCAACTCAACTGAATAGTGAATGTGAAGATAAAGAAATAGCCATCAAGCAGGATATCAAGCCCTTCTTATATAGACCTGGCCTTTGCACAGCTCTAAGCAGGCGGCTTCCGTCCCGCTCGCCATGCATGCCCATTCTGAGCAAGACATCCCGGACAACAAATTGGTCAGTTTCTAAGAACTCAATTCCGGACAAGCTTTCAAACGCGGCCTGAGGTATGAGTCAAGGCGCGCAGGAGACAATTAATAATTGCAGGCAACCAGGATTTAGCATCAAATAGGATTTTCTGCCTGAGGTCCGGGCTGTCCTCATTGTCGCGCGCCTTTCCAATTCGAGGCCCCGACTCTGCAAAACGCACCCAGCGTGGATCAAACTAGTTTGGCAAACCCAATCAAACATCACCACTTAACGACTTCCGACGTGTGTTGAGGGGTGAGGAGTCATCATTCGTGATGCGTGAGCCTGAAGACTGAGGCTCATTCAAATCCTTCATCGTTGATTTCGTTGAAGAGGATAACTTCATCCACTGGCTTTGGGGCTGCTCGCGACTGCGGCACTGCCATCCTCTCTCCAAATGCTTCGCCCGAGGCAGCCATATCGACTGTCATCCCAGAGAGTGCGGAGCCTTATGGAGAACTCTTCAGTGATGTCATGATTAGATATATATCTGACAAATTTATCACACGAAACAGTCAGATGCCAGCTGGAAGGTTCGACATGACATTGCAAAGGGCGACTAAGAGCTCGCGTTGATGGACATTGTCGAGCCTGGGCCCTAAAGTTGGGTCCACAGTCCTCAAGTCAGAGGGAAGTTAAAGCAAGCGAGCAACTCCAGGTCCGATTCCGGGCGCATATCAGACCACAGAGAATCAAGTCGGTTGACCTCAAGCCTCAAGCAGTCGTCGAAGCATTTCCGCACGGAGCTTTTGGGTGGAACCCCGTCGGGGCGGGAAGGCAGTCGGAATTGGAATTCGGAGTTGGGGTCAGGAACACGGACCAGCTCGGAGTGACGGGATAACGACCACTCTCAACATCAATATCGGACTGCATCACACTGGAACAAACGATCGACAGCGACGCGAGTGCTTGCTGAACCTTTCCGCGGTTGCTTGAGATTGTTAGGGAATACTTGGTGCTACCGATTTGGCCATGATATTGGATTCTCGACGGCAGCTTCAAGTCCTCGATTTAGATTGCTCTCGTGCATCGCAATACACACATCTTGTATCATCTACCCTTTGAAATAACCTGGCAATCTTCCACCAACTAGTCTGATCGTTCCCTTAAGCATCGCGTAATCAAGACAACCTTCTCAAAGCAGCCATAGAATTGGCCTCCTTCTCGCTTCAAACTCAGGATTCGAAAAGATAAACGGATTCTCCACACAGCAGCGTCAATGGGCGCTGAAGAATTCATACCTATTCAGCCCAAACCTGACCTGACATCTTATACCTTGCAATCACGGTATCTGTACAAAAATAAATCTAAATATGCGTTTTGAACAGAAAACGACAGGAAAACTAAGGACGCCAACAACGCAAAAAACCAAGTTCCAGCCTCTTTACCATCTATTTCTTCAATTTTTCAGTCAACTCTGGGACTTTCTCGAACAAATCCCCAACCAGGCCAACATCAGCGACCTGGAAAATGGGAGCATCAGGGTCCTTGTTGATAGCAGCGATGACCTTGCTATCCTTCATACCAGCCAAATGCTGAATTGCGCCCGAAATACCTGCGCAAAGATATAGTTCGGGAGCCACGTTCTTTCCAGTCTGGCCGACTTGGAGACTGTTGTCGGCGAACCCACTGTCCACGGCAGCACGAGACGCACCAATGGCCGCACCAAGAGAGTCTGCAAGAGGAGTCATAATTCTGTCGAACTCCTCCTTGGATTTCAGACCACGGCCGCCGGAGACAACCCGCTTAGCGGTACCCAAGTCCGGACGATCGGAGGTAGTGAGATCCTCAGAAACCCATTCTGTTGCTGATGAAACGTTTGGATCGACACCCTCAACAATTTCAGCAGATCCGCCGGTGGCTTCGCCAGCTTGAAAAGCGGTGCCTCGAACGGTGATAATCTTGATGGGGTCTGTTGACTGGACAGTGAGGATTGCATTGCCTGCGTAGATTGGTCGTACAAATGCTAAAAAGAAAGTTAGTGGCCGCATAATTCCCACTTTTCCAATCAATAACAGGCCTGTACATACTGTCTTCGCTCTCAATAGCAGTTATGTCCGAAATTTGCTGAACATCCAACAAAGCCGCTACACGAGGTAGAATATTCTTGCCAAAAGCGGAATGGGGAGCAATTATATGTGTGAAACCACCCTTCTTGATGTTCTCGACCAAAAGCGGAGCGTAGTTCTCTGGGAGACTCTGGCAATAGCACACCGAATTAGCCAAAGATAGGCTTCACAAGAATCGCCCCATTTCTATGGAGTTCGATAAGATGGCGATTAGAGATACCATACCTTATCATAAGCCGCATTGTCAACAACGAGCACTTTATCCAACCCGCTGATCTTCGCCGCCTCCGCCGCGGCACCCTCCTTTGCGCCAGAGCCAGCAACGAACGCAGTCACCGAGCCACCAAGCTTCGCGGCAGCCGTAATAGCACTCAGCGAAGCACCCTGAATCTTCCCATCTTTCTGCTCCAATACCGCAAGCGTAGAGAGTAATCTGGAGAGTGCCGAGAGCTGCTGTGACTGAAATAACGAGGAGGTTCCGGAGGGGTAAAATTGGGAGCGGGCGGCTCGGAGGATCGAGTGTCTGGCGAGAGGGATCATTGTCACGGAATGGAAGGAGGATAGGGATAAGGAAATGTACCGCCGATGAGAGACAATCACAACTCGCAATGCTTCTTCAATTCGTTTTCCTTCTCACCGAGATCTTTCCCAGGCGGACTTTGCCCGGCACGCCAGTCCTTGTGATGACTAAGCGGTAGATCGGAAATTTGCGGCGAAACTCCACGAGCCGAGTAACCCAGAAGCGAGCCGAGAAAAAAGGTCCTATACGGAGTGCACGTTGAGAGAAAATGGAAGGGAGTTTGAAACGGCTGGAACGAATTTCAAGACTTTTTGCTTCTTAGGTATTCTACTCAGACTTATACACAGTACGCCAGCTCTCAAATATCCTGAACGCCATGCATCAAACAAGGGCCTGAAGCACATGATCCATTAGAATTGCTCGAACATCTCCTTCACTGAGGCCAATTGAGCCGAAGCTCAACTTTCCGCCCGTGCCTTCGCCTTTTGCGCCTTCAGCTTTTGCTTTTTGGAAGCAATAAGTTCTGCTTCATCATCACCCTCCTCCGTCACCTTGCGCTTCTTCGAATCCGAAGCATCAGTCTCCTTGATTGTCTTTCTCTTCTTGTTTGATTTTTTAGATCCCTCGATCGCTTTCGTCTCTCCTTCCTCCTCGTTTTCGCGGACATCACCATCCTCGACCCACAATTCACTTGCCAGCCAGATTGGCAAAGCCATAGTAGTAGCCCCTTTTAAGTGAATCGCCTTGATATTTCTCCATCCCTTCGTGACATATTTATCGACCATGCCCTGTACCACCGCTTCGATATTTTCTGCAATCTGCTGAGGCGTGAACCGGGAAGATCCAACACGAATGGCAGCTGTTGTGGATGGAGCCAGATGCACAGGAACGCAATTTAGAGCCTTGCCGATCTCCTTTGCGATGACCTCGGGAGATGCCACAGAAGCGTACTTTTCACCTGGAGGAGGTCTCTTCCTCTCATCCTTCTTCAGTCGTTTCCCGTTTGATTTCTGAACTTCCTCAATGACTACTGGAATCGGTCTTTTGTTCGATTTGAAAAAGGTCTTTCCCAGCACCTGAATCAGTCGCAATATAATCCGGTTATCCGCTAGAAACACATCATGTTCCGATAAAAACTTGCGCCGGCTTTCAAAACTCTTATACCGTTCCTTTAGTTTCGTAAAACCTATCACTTTTGTAATCTGAGTCGATAGCGATTTAGGGAATGCCTCGTCGGCAATCGCATCCTTCACGGCTCGTTGCGGATCCGCAGTGATCAAGCAGATATTAAGCGAGGATACTGGGTTTAGGGGATGTGGCACGGTTATTTTTCCCGGCTTCAGACGATTCTTGTCCACAATGTGCTTTTTCGTCGTGAGAACAAGCCAAACTGGAACATCATCGCCGATTTCATCCTCGTTTTCAGAATCGCTACCTCCATCGAGTGGCAGTTTTTTAACCGTCGACTCCTCTGCTCTTTTCTTCTCTTCGCTTTTTATGTGCCGCAGAAGTGCTGTGGAAGCTCGATTCACCTGCGTCGAGCTTGGTTAGTTCCGAATTGACAAAAGATAGGAGTAACTTCGCGAACCTGCTCATTATTCAGTTGGTAGGGCGACCCGGAAGTCGGTTTAATCGTAAGCTGCTCTGATGAAACTGCCATCTTTTATTCCACGCGCTGCTGCATTCAGGCCGTCCTGCTTCCAAATCCGAGTGAATTCGCGATCTTCAAAATTTCGAGGAGGCTCAACTTTCTTCCGCTCCGAGAATGCCAAGCCTTGCTATGTAACTACCTAGTCACGTGGGTATCGTTAAATCGGAAGTTAGTTGTTCCGTTAAATTGCTCCCAGCTTAGTCAGATATCAGCCCCAGTTCTTTGTGACTCTTAAGCAAGACGAGACAACAGGCATCACACCCAAGCCAATAATAATCATCCAGGAACAATGCTAGATCTTGAACAGGGTTTACAGGCTAGACGCTTTTTTATACTGGGAGGCAGGATGGCGGCTCCCCGCCCAGTTGAATCAAGAGCTGTCAAATGTCAACCGAAGACATCGAACCTCAAGCAGATGTGTCTAATATGCCCTCCATGAGGGATAAAACGACAAGAGTCGCCAATTCTTTTATTTTCCACAAAGCATCGCTCAAGCGCAACGGTCATTCAAAGAAAGGGCGAGACGACAGGGATATCTCTGGAAGATTGGACAACACCACAATCCGAGCCGAAGATGAAGAAAATGATGTTATTCTCGAGGCAATCAGGGACAATGTTGCCGCTCAAAAAGAGCAGGGCAACCTAGAGGCCCCGGAGAAATCGGATTTGACGTTGAAGGAAACGGTCCGTGCCGATGCGGGGGAAAAGGTTGTCATTCACAAATCGAGCAATGAAAAAATACCAGCTATAGGCAGCCAAGATATACTGCCCGAGTTGGTTCCAAAAGTTGAAAGCAATACAAAAATGCTCGCTACAGAGGACTTGCATGAATTGATACCCACAAGATCAACCGGCGGCTCGATTGGCAAACATTACAAAGAAAAGAAAGCCTTCTTCGAGGCCCTTCCCAAATTACTGAATCGGCAGTGCGAGCTAGGGAACTTGAGCTCTTTCAGTAGCCAGACATCCCGAGGAAGTGCAACAGTTGACGACAATGTTACTGGTGCATGGACCATGACAGATCAGGGAACGAAGGCAGTACTCAATGTGTATGCAGACGTCAGAGCAGCACTGGAATACTTCAAGGTACCTGAGGAAACGAAATCCATCCTCGGCCTTTCAGTGAAAGTCATGGTGCAACCGACTTTGATAGCAACCGACCCGAGTGTCTTGACTCGGGTTGGCGGTCGTTGGCTGCCTCATATTAGAAATGAAATCCTCACCCCGCGTGATGTATTCTTACTCTGGAGCGGTGCAAATATCTCGCGGCTCCAGAAGGCTATGTGGGCAATGGGACTAGTCCGGAAAGCACAGCGGTCTGATGGATTTGCTGATCTCCTTCTCCCTCGTTTACTTGGCCTTGCTCAGCTGTGCGGTATCGAGCGCTTGAGCTTCTCAGATCTTATGGAGCTGGCAGCATTTACGCCGTATCTCGAAAAGTTTGCCCGAGCCTATATTGCAAAAGTGATTGGGTCAATCGACAAAAGTCAAATCACAAATCTTGCATATGGCAATTATTTCAACGGCCAAATGTTGGGCAGCACACCCTATATCAAACACTCTTTTGTCGACACTGCGCCGAGTTTAAATGACCGTATGGTTGTGATTGGGGTCATTCACAAACAGAAGCTGAAACTTACCAACCCGGACCCGTGCAAGCAAGTGGAATTTAAGATCAAATTGATCTCTTTGACGGAGGGCGAACCGGTGTACATGCTCTCTGGATGGGCCACGGCAATCGCGCATCGACCTCCACAGTTCGAGTCCACAACATCATTGAGATGTTTGTACCAAGATATCCACGGAAGTCCCCATTATGCGGAGTGGAGACCGGACAAAGTTGTTATCAAGATCAAACGCACCAGTGATGGTCGTCTAGCGGCTAAACCAGCCATGTTTGGACAAATTCCCGCACCTGAGATTCCCGGGCAGCGCGTTTTTGGCGTCCCATGCAATTGTACAACAAGGGATCCATCAAAATATCTCAAGCTAGCAGGCGATACTACCATGAACGGTGTGCAGCTACGGAGCGTTTGGACAGGCAGCACTGATATTTCATACCATGATCTGCGATTTATATGGACAGCCGGGGACTTGGTGATGCAACGATTCCGCGCGGATGCATTTACACAAAGCACTTATATCCAAATTCCGGAGGAATGTTTATACTGTGCTATCAACCGCGCGTTGGGAGCAGGATGTGGGATCTTGGTACTGGGTGGCTTTCCGAAATCTAAGCCGTCAACACAACAACGGGGCACATATGCTTGATTCACAAGCCTTGTCGGTATCCGATGGGATTTTTGAAATGTGAAACTCATGTTAGTTTTTTTCAGGTGCGATTTATTTACTGCGGGTATTCAGTATTTCGAAAATACATGAAATTTCCCCTCCAGCCCTTTTCAAATCAGGATAATATTCTTTTTCATCTTCTCATCGATCTCATCCATCACCCTCAAGTCAACACACAGTAAAACCAAATTTCCGGCCTGAGATAAATCACTACTTTGATGAAGCAAAAAGTAAAAAAGCGATGAGGGCTGACCCGGATTTGAACCAGGGACCTTAGGATCTGCAATCCCACGCGCTAACCACTGAGCCACCAGCCCTAGCGAAACAGTTAGACTTTTCCTAATTTTACTCAAGAGACCTGCAGAATTTTCGGTTGAAGCCGCATCGTCGTGCAGATTGGAACCCATGCCCGGAATGCATGGAACTGGGGGCCCATTTTGTTTTGATAGGAGGGAGTGCCGGTTTAGGTTTTAGCTGTGTTTGCATAAATGTAGCACAGCTCGAGTTAATATGTAACTTATCACTTGTGGGGAGCAGAATGCGCACCCCATACTCTGTACGAAGTACATACACAGGAATCGGGGGTTGACGTTGATAATGGCTTTCGGAGAACGGGCTCGGCGATCGTGGGAAGGCATGTATATAGAAAGTATACCATGATAATGCTTGGTTGAGAGCTAGTCGGGGTTGATCGATAGTTTTCTTGTTAAAAGCGCAGAAACAAGGATGGTATCATTTTGGACAAGTAGATTGAATAACCAGCTGTGACACAGAACATAACCATTACGACTTTCTTCTCTTTACCCTCGGACTTTCAGCGTCTTCCGGTTCCTCCGACCCCATCCGCTCCTCGTTTCGAATCCGATCCCGCACCTCCATCAGAGCCTTCCCAAGCAGATTCAGACCCCATCTATGCCTTTGCGCCTCCGCATTCTTTGCACCAAACCCTACACCCCAGATCCTATCCCGGGGACTCGCTTCAACCAGCTCCCGGTCCCCCGTTGCCAAAAGCTGCGCCCGAAGATCTTCATTCTGCGTGAACTTCAAGTAATTCCCCTCCACCACGATCTTCAACCGCTCTTTCTTCCAAATATCTTCGTCGAAATTTGGGATCTGGCGGCCAAGGCTCTTGAGGGTTCTTGGGCTTGGGACCGGTTTGCCGGCGGAGAGGATCTCTTGGGTGGTGCTGTCATCTGGGGCAAAGAGAATGCCCTTGCGATGCATCATATAGCTGATATATTGCAATAAGTGACAAGGAAGCGGTGCTTGGAACGAGAGAATCCTCACTGTTCACAATTCTTGTACTTGATCTCAACGTGCTCACCAGCGTCATTGAGCTGAGAAACGGTGAACTCAGACTCATACCACTGCCCAAGAAAACCATGGGGTTGCTCGGGTTTCCAAAAGTAGATAGGCCCGTTCGGGGGTGAGTCGGGTGACTCGCCCGTCTTTGGTTGGCGCTGTCGTTTTGACGGCATGATGAATGCAAGCAAGAAAAAGTGCGAAATGCAGAGCGGAGCTGGCAGCTCTCGAAATTCCTAGTTAATGAAATACGGGCGCTTCCAAAGGTCGTTCTTCTCAGTTTTATGAGTCACAAGCAGTGTGGTCTGTTGTTGCTTCTCAAATTCTGGCAAGGCTCCGCGATGCGTTGATAGGGTCGTGGAACCTTATGACCGAGGCAAAGCGCTGAACATTGCAGGATCACTCAGTTTTGGCTGCCATGCACTTTTGATGCTTGTTTTCGAGCCCCAGGGAATTCTCCAACAGGCTTCTGGGCTTGTCGCATCCTTTGAAATAAAGGTACAGAGTACGGAGTAAAAAAAAAAAAAAACCAAGAAAATGACTGGAATCGAGGTGCACCTCCTGAGAGAGTTTGATATTGAGTGCTATATTTAGGCAACGATGCATCACGATGTTTTTCCCCCTTTCAGTGGGGCGGAGCCTCACAACGAAGGTGTTTGGCCTCGTCATCGGGGTTTCTTTGAGCGGGAATCCGTTATGAATACGCTTCCTTGCACGGAGTAAGCAGATGATGATGATGATGATGATGATGATGATGATGATGATGATGATGATGATGCAAAGACTTAGGGATATCTATCCTTTTTATCTTACTGCTACGGCTTTATTAAATGCGACTGGGCGGTATTGTATCATTGGCTCCTCGATCTTGGGTAACCAAATGATAGGCCGAAGTAGAGGACCGGATCATCAAGACAAGAAGGGAAGATACCTGGAGCGCTCCCAGACTTGACCTCCGTTCAATGCGATTTCCAAAATCTGGGGAACCGCCTGAGCCTTCTTCCCGGAGCAAGTTGTGATCATGCAGTTTCCAGAAACGCGATCTAAGTGCTTTGATCATCGCAAGAACAGTAGCGGCTGGCTCTCTTTGTTGAGGGCCAGCGCTTCCCAACCTTGGTGATGAGAACGACGAGGAGAAAACTGACACCAACCAATGTGGTGACCTAATTTGGTGAGGCACCTCATTTGCTTGTTGAAAAGTCGAACCGATCCACGTTGACTAATTTCATCAAAAGAATCTGCTTTGACTTGTTCGAGTGACAACGTGGAGGGTTGGCAGGCGGTCTGTGGGGGAAAGCATGCATCCGGTACCTGCATCTTGACAGGGCCACATGTCCAGGGCTCGATGGTTGCAGATGTGCTGGCCCTGTTGCCTGACGGAGACATGATCATTCGGAGCAGAATCGGGGCCTTTTCAATGACGGAGAGCCTGGTGAAGAAGGCCGGTTTCTCAGGCTGGATGTTGAGGCTCGAATGCTTGGTGTCTCGTTTTGGCTCTGGGTGGTCTCGGGTATCTAGTTCATGGGCCTGTTCCACTCATTTCGAAACAAAAACAAAATTTACGCCAAGATCTACATCCCTGGCCTCAGTGGCAGCCCTGGTCGCGGGCCCTGATTGGTGTTCCTGAACCCGGCCGCAAAACGATACAATACGGGTCAGGAACAAAACTCAACAAACAAACGGTCCCTGGAGCTTGGCGGAAAGGAACGTCCAACAGCCAAGCGGGCACAACGGGCGTGGACATCTCCTATCTTTCAGCCAAACCACTCAGACTGATATCCAAGTGGTGAAGAATCGATCTCGGTTCAGTGTCCACAGTGTTGTCCTCCGAGTTGATGGTGTCCACGTCAACCTCCGCCTGGGCGAGAATCCACTCCAGCTGCTCGTCCTGCTCAGCATCCCCACAGCGATTATGTAACGCCCGCGCTAGACAGTGCAAACAAGCCCGGCCTGCACAGCCAGTGTCGACTTCCCACCCGCAGCCCGCACAGAGCCCCCTGAGCAAAAGCCAACCACGCTAGCCAGTGCCAATGCAACGCTCTCGCCCCCTTTTTGCACGCTTTTTCCCTCGCTTCGTGCGTTGATTGGCCCGTCCGGCACACCATCTGGTAAATTGGCCGCCCGCTGCTCTGGGCACTTTGCCCCTGGAACCGCCCGGGATCAGCATGCCCAATCCCTCCCCCCCCGTTTCGCTCCCAATCTCCCTCTTTTCCCTGGACGACGGCCTTCCTTTCTTTCATTCTCTTTCTCTCTTCCCCTTTCTTCTGCTTTTTAACCCTTCCATCGCCCCCCCCAGTCCTTCTCTCATTGTCATTTCTCGTTCGCTTCCTCTCCTTATCCCAGTCTTTCCGTCAGACCTGGAGGACTCGCGCGTTTTCCACCCACATTCCTTTGGAAAGACAGCCCATTTCGGCGATTCTCCCTCCTGAAACAGTTGGTCCACCCGTTTCGCGATCGACACATTGTAGCACCCAGGGTCAACCATCAACGTGAGTGACAACAACATTCATCTTGACTCTTGCTTTGGGCGCTGTGATGACCGTTGTGCCTGGCAATCGCCTCTATGCAAGCGATGCGGTCTCTGTGTCAAAACGACAAGAACTGCACCTAGCATCAGCCATGAAACAGTCTCCTTCAAGACTAGCTAACAATTGCTGTGTCTCGTTAGTTATTGCACGTCACGAGCGTCGTCCCTGAGATCTTCGACAGATCTCGATCCTGTCCTTAACGGCTCCTACTGCGACTTGACGTCGACCCAGCTTCCGTTGCTTGTCCATATTTGTCGAAAAAAACAACACAAATATCTGTACAATGAAGTTTACTCCCGCGATTCTGAGCTTGGCTGCAGCCACCTCTGTTGCGGCCAGTCACCATCACCGACATGGTCACATGAAACGGAATCCAGTGGCCACCAAAGTTGTTACCGTGTCCGGTCCTACTGTCATTGCCTATGAGCTTGATGGCAAGGTCATCAGCAAAGAAGAGGCCTGCAAGGGTATCAAGGATGGCTCTCTTATCTGGGCTGATGGAGGCTCCTATAACTCCTGCGACGCCGCTCCACCAACCCCTGTGAATGCGCCCCTTGCCGGCCAGGAGTTCTACGAACAACCCAAAGACGAACCAACTCCGATCAAGGTCGACAAGGCCCCCAAGCCCTCGCTTCCCAGCATGCCAAAACCCAACATCAAGACGCCTGATTCCTCAGCACCAGCCGGTGGTGAAGGCCTCGATAGTGATTTCCCCGATGGTGAAATTGACTGCTCTGATTTCCCCTCCAAATATGGCCCGCTCAATCTGGAGTGGCTTGGTCACGGCGGCTGGAGCGGTATCCAATATCCTACCTTTACTGGCGACCTGATCACCAGAATCGTTACTGCTATATCTGGTGAAGGATGCACTGAGGGCGCCATGTGCTCGTATGCCTGTCCTCCTGGTTATCAAAAGAGCCAGTGGCCATCCACCCAGGGTGCCAAGGGCGAATCCGTCGGTGGCCTGCAATGTAAAGGAGGAAAGCTCCGTCTCACCAACCCCGATCTCTCTAAGAAGCTTTGCACCAAGGGCGCTGGTGGTATCAGCGTGAAGAACACGATGAGCGAAGTCGTCTCTGTCTGCCGAACTGATTATCCTGGTATGTGTTAACTCACCCCTTACCGTATCGGCCCTTCAATGCTAATAAAACGCAGGAACCGAATCCGAAACCGTCCCTCTCCTTTCTAAACCGGGCTCGACTGATCCTCTTACCTGCCCTGATTCCAGCTTGTACTATAAATGGCTGGGCAAGCATACCTCTGCGCAATACTACGTCAACCCTAAGGGCATTGGCATCAAGGAAGCTTGCCAGTGGGGTGACGGTAGCAAACCTATTGGCAACTTTGCTCCCATCAACCTTGGTGTCGGAAAACGAGATGGTGCTACTTGGATCTCCATTTTCCAGAACAAGCCAACCACGAACGTGAAACTGGACTTCAAGATCGAGATCAAGGGTGACAACCTCTCTGGAGCTTGCCGATATGAGAACGGACTTTTCTACTCTCTCACCGGATCCAACCCCGATGGATGCACAGTACGTATTTGGAGCCCTGCGATTATCACCTCAACGTTTTGCTAACTCTTATTCCTCCGATAGGTCCAAGTAATGTCTGGCGAAGCCACCTACGTTTTCTCTTAAATCAACCATCTCTCAAGATATAAAGAGAATACTGGTTTTAAAATGTCGTGGCGCGCTCTGGATTTATTCATGTATTAAATATCATCGTGACGATTTCACATCCAGCAGTATTTTCAGTCTTTGCCCCTTTTGAACACTTCATCGCATCACTTTCTTCAGAGCTTCTGAAACTCCCACAAACCTTCTTAGCCAGTCATAGTATATTTAGTAGCGCTTTTCCTGTTATTTAGATTTCCTTTTTTTTCCCCACGCTTTTCGTGCATGTAAAGAATGTGTTGACATCGTAGTCTTTTTCTTGGTACACTCTCTCCGCTCCCCCAAAAGTTCAACCAGCCTTTTCCATCTTGTAGGTGGTTACGGAGATCCCTTTCCATCTCGCGCCATTCCTCCGCTTTTTGTCCAAGATGGCGAAATTAAAAAAAAAAAAATACATTTAAAACCGGCGACTAACAAAAACGGAAAATCAGCCGCCCTCACAGAGGCTCGAACTCTGGACCCTGAGGTTAAAAGCCTCATGCTCTACCGACTGAGCTACAAGGGCCGGTTAGGGTACGAGGCTAAAAGGTTGGCTACATGAGGCTATCAACTAGTCTTCGAGGTAATTTTTGGTAGGGAAGTGAATTATCAAAGCCATCCCCGTTTAGCCGGCTTTTGAAAGGTATATAAAGCCCTATTAGGCTGTTATGAGAGGCGGGAAAAATTGGCTGAACTTGGTCATTAACACGTGGATGGTGAGAAGAAGGATATTTTTTTGAAGGTCGCTTGAGATTAATTGGAGCATTGGGGTTAATCTATTCATTGCTGATGGTGGACTTGATTCACAGAGACAAGGGGTTGTGTGAGTCGGTTGGTTTTAGCATACCAAGGATGTAAGTAACATGCTTTTAACAACGGCATTTGTAGGAATGATCTTATTATGGAGCATTGCAGGAGTTTGATGGGTTGGAGACTCTTTAGGGGCGCGAGAACGAGTGGTGGTGAAACACATTGGAATGAAAATAGAAGAGGTTTTTATGACATGATCGGGACCAGAATGGGTATCATCCTATTCAGAATCATGGAATTGGTTATAGGAGGTTCCCGGCACTAAGCAGGCCACCCATATCTAGTGGTTATATGAAAGTTCAAGTAAAGGAAGTAGCCTGTACATACGTTTTTTAGACATCTGCTTCAGCAGCTATCCCAAGTTCTTCTTTTACCCAGCGGACCATATATACAACCCCCATGTTCAAAATTATCCAAATATATACATGTGGATGGCTATCGGCCGGGTGCCCTTCCCTGGAAATGCAGATCCTAAAACCGATCCTTTGGTATCCCCAGTCGCCTTTCCTCAGCGTACCTCTCCTCGGTGATCTTCCACCACCAGGCATGGGTCTCATCCACGCTTCTGCTCGCCGCCTTTTCATCGTTTGCCGCGTCACCTCGCCATGTCTCATCCCATGGCTTAGGGCTCAGTATATAATGAATGTTTTTGATCTCGTCATCTCTCCAGATCGCTTCATGCACGCCCTTCCAGCGAAGAGTTTTCAACGCGTTATATGTATAAGGGATCGCAACCCATCGTCCAGGGAATAAATCGGCTAGGAGTGATTGGTCTGCGAAATCGTAGTTTGAGGTAGCGCGCGGGTTGCGCAGGCATTCGAGGATACGGTCATACACACCCATTGAGGGATTGACAACTTGAAGCCCACCGTTTGGAATTGAGAGACCGGCTGTTGGAGGTGCTCCTTGCCTCTGTGCCTTGTCTGGGTGGCTGTGCTGACTTGTAAAGGCGCAGTTTGATGAATTCCTATACAGGAGCTACAGTTACTACACCCGCCACTGGTTCAGGGAAGAGGGCGCCATGTCAAAAGACATGGACTCCGACATACCAATCCTTAGGATAATGTGGCTTATGTAGCGGGTTGCAAACACAGGCATGACTCGCAGCAAACACGCGCGGCCCCGTGCCACCCAGCGCCGGGTCATCCAGTTCTATATCCATCAGCTCGTCCATGTTGCGAAGGACCAGCATGTCGCTATCAAGCTGGACGACACGGTCATAGTCCACAAGCGAAAAGGGAGTCAACTTGCTCCAGCAATCATAGAAGCGGGTGTCATTGCTGTAGTCCTTGTGTGCCGATGGGAGCAGGTACGGAATATGGCGTTTGGGAATCCGCCTTGCGTCTAGGGCGGCATGGCCTTCAGCAGGGAACGTATCGGTGTAGAGAGCCAACAGAGGATACTTTGATCCAACTCGTTTCAGAGAATAGTCCAGCGTAAGGAGACCTGAGAGATAATCGGCGTTGGTGATCAGGGTCGTCCACACTGATGGGGTTAGGAGGATAGTCGCTCAGGCTCAAGACATTGACTTAAAACGCACCCTTTTTATGTCGTGGGCTCCTTTCTGACTGAGCCTTCATTTGGGTCTATTCGTCCCCAATGCCGCCTCTCCTCGGTCCAAAAATTGATTCCACCTCTTCCCAACTACGCAGGTAGCGGATAGCACGGCCGTTCCGGGCTCAGGAGCGGTATCCAAGCACGCATCAACGGATATCCAGCACCCAGGGAGAATAGAGAACCTCGGGTAACCCCTAAAAAAGCGGGCGATGACTAAGGAAATTTGGATATTCCACCACCGGAGCCCTCTTGGGTGAGGCCAGATAGCTCGCGGTGTCCAGTATATCCTTCAAAAGAGCAAACTGCCAAACCGCACGGATGGCCGGTGGAGCAGAATCTGCCTGCTATATACACTGACCATCGTGTCGGGTATAGAATCCCACAAACGGGAAAGACGAAAAAGAGAGACGGTCCCAAACTCCAAAGCGGAGCAGGCGAAAAGCCGAGAGCAGACTCCATAACTTGGTATCATGGTTAACTTTGCTTTGGTTCCGCACTTTTCGTCTCGACTCCATTTTATTGCCAGATCGAGCGGCCGGCGCTGGATTACGTGAGCGGCTTGGCGTGGAATATGCACTAGAGATATTCGGGACTAGTATTAGGTCATGTGACTAGCTATGCTTACCTAATCCCAAGCTCGATTCTGGTTGGCGATTCGCCGGCGCGTCAACTCGCTGTTGTTTAGACGCGCGACGTTTGCAAGGGAGAAAGACGGGATATCTGCTCGATTTCGCGGATTCCGGTCAGTTGCCAGAGCACAATTGCGACATTGTCGTACACTGGCCTGGAGAACCGCCGCACAGCGATTTGAGCTTCTTTTGATTCCTCTGGGTGATGCTTCGCAGCGCGCTTTGCAGCGCTCGCCAGCCACCAAACGCGTAGCTCCACCAGGCGTGCATCTGTAAGGACAGGCATTATTCCGCTTTTCATACCAATCGTGACCGTGACTTCTTCCCACAACGCCCGTCTTCCTCCTCTTCTCTCTCTCGACCCCCTGAGAGCGACATGCCTGTCGGTTCCTCTCCTGGTTTGGTCATTTTCTGCCTAGTTTATTAGTGTTTCCTTCCCGCGATTTCTGATCATTGCTCATTCCCCTTTGCTCTCGTCTATCACATACCGTGTATTTTTTGCGAGTCTACCCTTTTTTCTTTCTTCCTTTCTGCTGGCCTCCCGTGAACCGTTTTCACCGCTGGGCATTGTCTCAAAGGGCTCTTGCATCACGCTTCCCGCCTCGTCACGATGGAGTCCTCACCTCCTCGAACCCATGCTCGACTCCCGTCCGTGGCAGGCGTAAAGCGATCCGCGTCTCTGCTGCCTCCATTCGAGCCATCTTCCTCGCCTCCCCTTCCACGGCCGATAAAACGCCTTGCACGCGATGATAACAATGGGATTTCCAAATACCCTACTCCAGTGCCCACGTCGTCGACTGCCGTTCCCTCCTCGTCTCCTCCACGTGCCAGACGTGGTTTGAAGCGTACTCACTCCATGGCTTCTGAAAGGACACCGTTGTCAGCAGTACCGTGCGTCATGCTTAATGAAAATGGAGATACCCTGACCATGGGAAGGTCTAGCATCTCTTGCAACTTTCAAATTTCTGCCAACCGTCTGGTGTCGAGGGTGCATGTGAAGGCCGCATATAAACCTGCTACGCATCCGTTTGAGCAAGATAGAATCGAGATTCTCTGTACTGGGTGGAATGGTATTCAATTGCACTGCCAGGGAAAAACATACGAATTGACAAAGGGCAAGACGTTCACTTCTGATATCAGGGACGCCGATGTTATGATTGATGTACACGATTCACGCGTACTGCTCCAATGGCCTCGTCAAACTAGAAAAGGCTCGACTTCCATGCACTCAGACCAAACTTGGGAAGAAAGTTCTCCAATCCGAGATCCACAGACGCGTCCACAGCAATCTACCACTGCAAGCCCCCTTAGGAACAGACAACGGCTCGGTTCTCCAGTTTCTCCCTCGCCTGCCGTCCAAGCATTAGGAGCCTCGATGGCCCCACTGACCCCTTCCCGCTCTCTACCTAGCGAAGTCGTCGTTTACGAAGACGAGGCCTCGCCAACTGGTCGACGTCACTCAACGGACAATTCGATGTCTCAGAAAACACAGCTAGCCACCCAGCCGCTCGGGCATAGTCAGCAGAACTCTCTTACTAGCTCCTTGAGCAAATCAGAAGAACTTTCTGAACATGACGAAGAGAACGATCCCATTATCTTTTCGTTTGGGCCCTTTGGTGCGAATATTCTTCCCAGGCTAGCTTCCTTCCATACTAGCGATTCCCCTACCCAGGCTCTTCCTGAAAAACCCAAAAGTCCACGCCAAGCTGCGCCGCATGTCTTGCAAAAGGACTCGGAGTACGAATCGGTTAAGGAAGGAATTCAGAATCATATTGTCAATCAGCTGGCGTTTTCACGGCTGTCTTCCACTCCTTTTTCAACCATCGTGAAAAATCTTCCGTCGGAACTAGTTCAAAAACTTCCAACGGACAGGTTTCGTGTTCCAACTAGCGAAATTATGTCGATCATCGAGAATACTCAGTGTATCGGAAAAGTGAGCAGAGAAGGCAAAGATGCTGCGGGGAAAGCATTGGAAAGCGAGTATTACTACACTCCCGATATGGACCTGGATGAGAATAGGAGAGAAACGGTCGTGAATGGCCTTAGGAAACCCGGTTTGAGGAACTGTCGGAAACAGCACAAGGTTCGAATGTCCCCCTTTCCTTCCCATTGGCTCTTCCATCCTCCGTTGTTAACATGTTGATTATTTAGCAATATTTTTGGCGCAGACCAAAAACACCATAGAACACCTTTCTCAGAGTCTGGCAGGTCGAAACCATTGACATGCAGTCATCCACAAGTTCCCTTATTGTCACGGCATAGCGTTTGTATGGTATGATCCCAATTTCACACATATATTTCCCCCGTATTCCAATCCACTTACCCCCGAATCCCTACGCCCATTATGTGGGTTCAAAAAAGTCCCTTGTCTAGATGTAGTTATAATACGATTGTCAGTGTTCCTTCTATTCTTGGACGACCTGTTGTTCGCTTCCAAATCCCTCTTGTTACCTTATCCCTTTGAAGAATTGTTTACGCTTGATGTATCCCCAAGACTACACACAGATCCCGCTTCTATGAGAGAAACATTCCATGTTTGATTATCCTTGCTCTAGTACGAAGTACGAGTCAAAAAGGAGCCGAATTTATTTATGTTCGTGTATATAACTTATGTGATTCCCCTTTTATGCTCTACACCATTACAACCAGGCACCCTGAAATACGATATACATTGATTAGACTTCAATGTGACTCCAAAGAGGAGTTCTGCATTCTTCCCGGAGTTATTAGTAAATAATGTAGGTCACATTGGAACGCAGGTATCAACGCTTGTTTGCTTCTATTATCTGGGTTATATAGCAAAGATGTAGGGTATTGTGTAAGAGATAGTTCCTCTAAATACTTGTACCGCAACTCAAAATGCCCACTGGCTTGATATTCTGGATAAGCAAAAGCTCATTCAAACTTGTTCCTCACATTATCATAGACACTTGCCGGAAAATCCAAAACGTTCTGACTCCCATCCAACCCAGCGGTGCCTCCCAGCGCAGCCACCGTGACATTGATCAAACTCCTCTCATTACTCACGGGAAGATCCCCGCTGAGTTCCCACCACATAGCACCCCCCAACCCGCGATTGCGGATATACTCCGCTTTCCGCTGTGCCATGAACGGGGTATCGTAACTGATCATTTTCTGTCCGCTGGGCGAGTAGCTCCACGACGCAAGGAGCTGGGTGTCGTTTTGCTCCTGGCTTTCCGGCTGCGGAAGCGCTTTGTAGTCCCACACTCCGTTTTCCCAAGATCCTTCTCCAACGCCTTGGAAGGAGGATCCGGGGCCTTGGGTGTGTTCAAAGGCCCGGCCGTAGAGGGGAAGACCGAAAATCAGTTTGCTTGGATGCACGCCGGCGGAGATGTACGCGGATACTGCGGCGTCGGCGTTGAATGGGGTGCTGTCGGGGGAGGATGGGGATGGAAAGACGTTGGCCATGTGACCTGCCGTGGAGTCCCAGCTGCCTGCAAAATCGTAACACATGAGGTTCCAGAAGTCAAGATACCGATCCATCTCAGCTATGCGGAGCTTCGAATAATGATTTGGCCCACACGGAGCTGCGATGGTGAGGGGCAAATGTTGTCCCGGCGCGCATTGGGAGGCATACTGGTCCAGTGCGATCCTGGTTTCGTAAAGAAGGGAGACGTAGTGTTGGGCTTCGCTGTCATCCTTGGGATATTCCCAGTCGATATCGATGCCGTCGAATCCGCAGTCGGCCAGGAGTTTAACGGCGCTGCGGGCAAATGTCTGGCGGCCCTCTGGAGTGGCTATGGCCCGAAAGTTGGTCGAATATGTCCAGCCGCCTATCGATAGAAGGACCTTGAGGTGGCGATTTTTCTTTTTCAAGAGAAAAAGTTGCTTAACGCAACCATAAGCATTGTTGCCCTTGTCATCCCAGGAGTCTGATGGATAATGCTTTTCTAGATCTGCATAACTGTCGGTCAGATGGCTATAAAAACGTTAATATAAAAAAATATCCAAAATCGGAGCGTGATAACGCATGCGTAACATACACTTCTCCGCTATCACCGCGAATATTGGCAAAGGAATCTGTAAGAAATGGTTAGGTGATGTTAAATAATTAAATGTGGAGTGGATCGCTTTCATACAAAGAATATGTGTGACATGGCTTGCTGGAATATCATTAGGCTGGTAATTTCGGCCATAGATGCCCTATTCAAAACATTAGTTCATCAATGGTTAACTGCATAAGAGAGTTTCCGCAGATTAATTAAGCATGTAGTAGTAAAATACCATACCCAATTGGTAAAATAAGCAACAGTTTTGAATCCAGTTGGATTAGACGGAGCCGGGATGTTCAGAGCAGCAGAAGTGTTCGGAACAGCAGCAGCAGCCGCAACGGGTTCGAGCGCCTTTGCAGCCACTGGTTCAGGAGGCTGTTGAGATATGTTGACGACTTGTCCAACTTCAATCATACTGGCATTTGGTATCTGTGGGTTGAGAGTAATAAGGGCGTCGAGTGTCATGCCATGGTCATTGGCTATTTTCCACATAGTATCGCCGGGAACAACTGTGTAAGTAGACATGGCTAAACCGGGTAGAGTTGATACCTCTTCGATAGTTGGATAGTATTTTTAAAGCTGAGCTCTCTGTGTCGAGGTCTTCATTGAATTTATAGAGAGGAGCAACATTGCCCCGCCACAATTGTAGGGCTGAACGAACCCCGCCGCAGAACAAAGGGCCCCACAAGTGCTTCAAGCTGGCCTATCATTTCCGTGCAAACATGCGGCACAGCCACAGGACAGGAGAAGGGTGAGGCTCCAGCCACAATCCATGACATCCCCGTCGAATCGCAGACATCCAGCCCACAACCATGCTACTCTTTGCTTCATGCTTGGTCGATACCCCCATCTGATGCAGGCTATGCAACCAGGTGCTGGACATTTCGTTTATACCGTCTGGATGCTTCAGAGTTTCCACGGTGAATGGCTGGGTAGTTGAGGCTGTCCTTCAACATCTACCCCCGATGTCGTCGAAGAGAATGAGAGCTGACGTTGGAATAAACTCTGGCATGATCGATCGCAGCCGCCCGCTTGGCTTACATAATAACTATATACCTCTATCTTCCAGCATACCAACTTGGAAGTGGAGCAAGGCCAACTTCAGTGAACATGATGTTTCTCCTTGATCATGTCAAGACTGATAAATACCTTTGCAATATCGTGCCTATCACGATACCCGAGTCTTCCCTCCCAACAGACATCTCAACCCATCTTCCGCTCACTGAGAACACCTTGGTACCAACAAACCAGCGGCATGTCAGGTCGTTCCCAGCTAGGCACGCCTGATTCCGGCGTGGACCTTCGAATGCCAACTTGTCGTGGTGTTGAAATTGAAGAGATGACCATTATTCAATTGCAAAAATGTTTGACAGAAGGGAAATTCTCTTCCCGCGATTTAACTGCTTCTTACTTGCTCAGAATCGAGAAACTTAACCCAGTACTGAAGTACGTTATTTTGCTATTGCTGCAGCCATCCTCCTATACGCATAAATGACAGACAGCAATACTCATGCTCCCCCTGCAGGGCTGTGATTGAGGTGAACCCAGATGCCCTCACGATTGCAGAAGCATTGGACAACGAAAGGAGGAATGGCGAAGTGCGTAGTCTTCTTCACGGGATCCCTTTCCTTGCCAAAGATGTAGGTGATACTCTCCTGGCTTGGAAATAACGTGGTATAATTGACTTACTTTGGGCCATTTTGGGTATAGAATATGAGTACAAAGGATAAAATGCAAACTACAGCGGGATCGTCCGGTATGCTGCATTATCATTCTCTTTACTAGGCCATTTTACTTATCTGAAATAATGATAGTGCTTCTCGGTACAACGGTGCCTAATGACGCAACCGTTGTGTCGTTGCTGCGAGAAGCTGGAGCCGTTTTACTGGGACACGCCAATATGTCAGAATGGGCATCGATGCGCTCCTCAGGCTAGTCTGTGTAATCTATTTCCCCGATCCTTACGAGGCTGTGGCTCACATTTATAAGCTCCGAAGGCTATTCCTCCAGAGGGGGGCAATGTCGGAACCCTTATAACTTGGCTGAGCATCCTGGCGGGTCTAGTTGCGGGAGTGCCGTAGCTGTGGCAGCCAATATGTGCGCTTTTAGCTTGGGGACTGAAACAGATGGAAGTGTTAGTATCCCGCGAATGAGAAAGTCCTTGTTTCCATGCATTGACATTTTGTACGCAGATTATATATCCGGCGGACCGCAATGCGGTGGTTGGCATCAAGTCCACTGTTGGTTCGGTTTCCTGCGATGGACTCATTCCAGAGGCGAGCAGCCTAGATGCTGTTGGCACCATTGGCCGAACCGTTGAGGATGCGCCACTTGCTTTGGATGCTATCAAGGGAAATCTCCAACAAGGTGAGGATGTATGCATTTTATTCGAGGCGAACGTTGACAGTTGCGTAAGAAGAGAGATCAAGATCCCCGGGGGACGCGTCCAGAACGTCGTACGCATCTTTACAAAGTGGGAGGGAGGTCCTCGCCGGCGCTAAATTTGGGCTTCCCTGGACAAGGGTTTGGGAGATGGCGAGTCAAAATGAGCCACTAAAAGCACATTATGAAAAGCTGAGGGCTGTCATCGAGATGATAAAAAGCGCCGGAGCCGAAATTCACGAGGCGACAGACTTCCCCAGTGCGAAAGAAATTATTTCACCAACAGGCTGGAACTGGTAAAATTCCCTATTTCCCGATAAGCGAGGTTATCACTGACTCAGTACTTTGAGGGAGCATGCCCCAGAAGACAATCCAGATCTATCCGAGTTCACGGTCGTGAAGACGGAATTTTACAATGATATCCGGACATATCTTTCCAACTTGGCTGCTAACCCAAATGAAATCAAGAGCTTGGAAGACATTGTTGCGTATAACAAGAAAAATGCAGATAAAGAAGGCGGGTTCCCTGGTAAACATCCCTGTTGGCCCATGGGGCAAGACAATTTCGAGAAAAGCGTCAAGTCCAAAGGTGCCATGGACGATACATATCACCGGGCTTTGGAATATATCCGGAAAAAGTCGCGGGAAGAAGGAATTGATGCCGCTTTGTCGTGGAAAGGCTCGAAGCTTGATGGGCTTCTCGTGCCAGTTCAAGCAGAACGGGGCGTAGCATCTCAGGTAGCGGCTAAAGCTGGTATGGAATTTCCTTCCCCCCTTGTTGTGAATCAAGTTCCTGAAACCTTGCGATAGGTTATCCAATGATTACGATTCCTGTAGATGTTGGAAAAGATGGTGAGTCGGTTGACCCAATGGTGCACCACGTGCCTGCTGTAACGAGATCGAGATTGCTAACCGGATGCTGTGCGTCTCTCGGGAAACTGCAGAAGTTCCTTTTGGCATTGGGATCATCCAAACTGCAGGGGGGGAGGATTCCCTCATCAAGTATGGTTCTGCCATCGAGGGACTAGTTGGAAAACGGCCTAGACCACATTTCCACAACATCCATGCTAACAATTGTATGCTGATTGGCGCCAAGCCAGAGGATTAACCACTAACTAGTTAACCGCTGAGGGTGTTCTGATGTTGGTGGAGGCGATTTCCTTAGCTTCACATATTCTGATGGAACGTGGATGAGATGAAAGTAGTGATTTGGTTGTTGGGAGTTCACCAAGGTGGCATAGAGAAATAATGGGATTAGAATCCTCTGTGGAGTAATTCTATAAATTTGTTATACATAGTTAAATATTAAGTTTGTTTTTGGCCCCCTTCTGTATTTTGGGGTTTTGGCTTTTTTGACTGCATGTTTCTGGGCAGAGAACGCTAAAATACAGAAAGACCAGCCTCATCTCCTTGAACGCCGGTGGGGAGAGAAGAAAGAGGACTCTTGAAAAAAAATCAGGGTGTGATAATAGCCGGGGTGCTGTTGCCCCATGTCGCATCGTTCTTCCGCATCTAGGTATACATCATCGAGAATACATTGAAGGACAGTCATACCCCGATCGAACATCAAACACAGATTTAGTATCAAACCGGGGAGAAACCGCATCCACAGGCCAGCTTGCCTTGCGTCTGGCTTTAGCGATAGCCTCTGTTTTGGCAATAGCTTCTGCCCTCAGAATTGCGCTTTCGGCGACCATCGCCCACACTACCGTTGCCCCAAACGGTATGGAGACCAAGAGCAAGCTGAGCGATGTCCACCTGCTAGCCATCTCGAAGGTGCATTGACGGTGGAGGAAGTTGATATCTTGGCCCATGGCGTACTGGTAGGTGTATGTCTCGCAGGTCCATGTTTCTGGGTCGAAAGTCCCCCGGTCGTATGGATTAATGGAATGGCTGGGATCAAAGTGGGCGGATAGGTGGTGGATAAGGAAGGTATGTATGATGGTTGCGGCAATGAGGAGGTAGTAAGCCAGTAAGGTAAATAGGACGAAAAGGCGAGTGCGAGGGGATATCTTGTCTTGAGGTAAGCCTTTGACAAGTAATGTGGGATCTTCTTTGGAAAAAAAGACAAGCTTACCCAGAGGGGCCCCTTGTAAACAGATACCGATGCAAACAACCCGGCGGCTAGCGAAAGAACCAAGCTGAGAGCACCAGTTGCGATCGTAGGCCCTGTAGCTCCGTCGTCGAGATGAACTGGAAAGGTGGGCACCGAGATGTCAGTTTTGTAAAAGACCCCGGTATAGATGTCAGTTCGATTCTGATTCTGGTTCTGATTTTGATTCTGGCTCATAAACTCCTTGCGAGGGTGAACGGCAGCGCATTTGAGCACAAGCACCATGATAGCGCCGATACCCAAGAATGGGCAGATTGCTAAAAGGAAGAAAAGGTGTTTCCTGGAGGGGTCATTGGACGCCATAGTGTATTTGACCAGTCTTCTCCATCAGCAGTGGGAGAGAGAGAGAAAAGCCTTGAGCAAAATTGGAGATAAATCTTGTGAAGCCATTTGTCAGGTGAATGGCGAAGAATCGACTATAAACACTCCTGGCATCGGCTCCACCCACCAGGAACGTGCCCTTAATCCGTATAAATATCTAGGGTATTATTCAGGGTTGGCTTGGTCCTGTTTCCAATTCCCCTGGCTGCCCGGGTTGATTGCTATTCCGGGAATAGTTGGGGGCCGTAAGAGGGCTACCGGTTTGGTTTAGATTAGCTTGATTTAACAAAGCTTCTCCTAAAAGTAGTAGTTCGTTGGGCTGTGAGGGATAATATATTGGACACTTCCCCGTTGGCCTGGTGGCATTCATCTAGCACTCTCGAGTGGAGAGGTTGTCCTGTATCGCATCGCATGCACGCGAAGCCTAGGAGGCGATTTATCGACCTCCGGAGAAAAGGACTTTGATCATGCAATTGGACTGAAATTCTATGCATCTCCATGATGGGCCGGAGCTCCCAGGTTTTTGGAAACCACCGAGACAAAGTGACTGTTCATAGGTACTGCGCCGTCCATGGGGCCCTGTCTGGTGCTGAGGGCAGACCGGACTCGCAGCAGTGTTCGATTTCTGGGCCCAACTGCAGCTGGCGCACTTTTCGTACCCTTGGTCTTGGTTTTAGGAGTAAATATGTGGGAATCCAAACATGCCTGGTGGTTGCTGTGTGGTTTCTTCCCTCTTGCGACGGTTGATGGTTTTAAGCGCCCAACAAGTGCCAAGTCACGCTAGATTACTTCTGGAACAAACGCCGCAAGCGCCAAGAGAGCGTTAAGTGACTAACTCGACGGTTAACTTGTTAACCAGCTCATTAACGAGTTAACCCCGGTTAAGCGAGACCGCATCCCATGGTCCAAAGCACCGCGCCGCGACGTCCCTCGGCTCAATCAACCAGCGCGTGCGATCATCACGCTGCAGAGTTGCAACTTGCGGGGAAAGATCCCAAGGCAACATGCGACGACTGCCGGGGTCTGATCGAATCTCAGACATGGACTCCCTAGCCAGGCTTTCAAAATCTCCTCGGCTGAGGGGCTGGGCGCCTGGGTTCAAATCTGGTTATGTGTAACCACCACAGGGCATATGACAAGCCAGTGGCCCTCAGAGATGAATTAACTCACGATTTTGCACTTGTCTGTTGTACTGTGTCCTTTGGGATGCTTCTTTGAGTTGATCTAAACGCAACATGGCCCCAAACAACTATTCCCAAACTTCCGTTGGCAATAAGGAGTACACCAAGGCTGCTATTGTCGTTATTGGAGCTGGTATTTCAGGTACGGCTGCCCAGCAACAGCGCCATCTGTGCCGGATGACGGCTTTATTTGGGGTGGGATATCGTGCTTACACGTAGATTCCTTGAAGGGCTCTGCACCGCCATCAACCTCATCAAGAATAATATCCATAATTTCGTCATCCTTGAGAAAAGTGCTGGGCTCGGCGGAACATGGCGAGATAATAAATACCCGGGCTGTTGCTGCGATGGTAGGTAAACCACCGCCAATATCGACACGTTCCTCAGTTGATATTTCTGTTGCAGTATACTCCCATCTATACAGCTTCTCCTTTGAGCAGAATCCGGATTGGAGCCGCCTGTATTCTGACCAGCAAGAGATCCTGGTATGGAGTACCACTCCCTACTCAGCTTCAACCCACTGACCTAAATCAGAACTACCTTCGAATGGTAGCAGCGAAGTATAATCTCTATCAGTATATTCGATTTAGCTCCGAGGTGCAGGAATCAAGGTGGGACGATGTCAAGAACGAATGGTGCACTAAGGTCAAAGTCATTGGTAGCAAGGATGTCGAGTTTGGAGAGGAATATTGTATCACTTCAGATTTCCTGGTGTCTGGCGTTGGCCAGTTGAACTATCCCAAGTATCCATCAATTCCCGGAATTGACAGTTTCAAAGGAAAGATGATGCATTCTGCTCGATGGGATTGGACCTACGATTATAAGGGCAAGAGGATTGGGATAATTGGAAACGGTCAGTGAGCATACCAGTCAGTCTCTACTCTTGACCTCCTAACATGGCTCCTGGTCTAGGTGCTACCGCTGCCCAAATTATTCCTGAAGTCGCAGGCGATGCTTCTCACCTTACTATTTTCCAGCGAACAGCCAACTGGGTCGTGCCTCGTATGGATCTGGCAGTCTGGAAACCATTTCGGACCATCTTTCGATACTGTCCTCCCGTCCAATGGAGGCTACGAGCGTCAATAATGGATTTTCGTGAAGCTGTCCACGCTGTTATGCGGGATCCCAAGTCGAGTACCGCCGATTTCATGCGAAAGGCTAGCTTGCATATGATGCATAAGGCACTTCCTGACAATCCCAATTTGTGGGAAAAATTAACGCCAGACTATCCTCCGGGGTGCAAACGTTTGATCCTTAGCGATGACTACTTCCCAACCCTGGCGCGGGACAATGTCTCCCTCGAAACCGGCCACATTGACCGCATCTCAGAGAACGGTATTATCGTCGATGGCGTCGAACAAGAATTAGACCTAATCATCCTCGCAACGGGCTTTCGCACCGTCGAATTTATGCATCCAATCAAAATATATGGGCGAAACGGCAAACCTCTCTCTGAAATATGGAATGGCGGGGCTCGCGCACTCTACGGTGTGGCCGTCGAAGATCTCCCCAATTTCGGCATGCTCTATGGGCCCAATACAAACTTGGGCCACAATTCCATCATTCTCATGATCGAAGCTCAGTCGCGATACATGCTCGCCATGATTAAGGAAGTCTTGCGCGCCCGTGACCGTGGCCAGACGCTCGCCATTGCTCCCAAACCCGGAAAAGTTGAAGAGTTCAATTCGAACCTCCAGGAAACGCTCTCCAGCACCGCGTTCGCATCGCCGAACTGCCAAAGCTGGTACAAGACTGCTGAAGGGTTGATCACAAACAACTGGTCTGGCACAGTGGTGGACTATCAGAAGCTCCTTTCCAAATTGGACTGGAATGATTTTGATTTGGAAGGAAGTGGCGCAGAGAGGATTCGTTCCACAAGGGTTGCAAATTTGGGTCGTGTGCGGGAAGAATCCTTGCTAGGATTGAAGGGGCTAACTGTGGTCAGCGCGCTTGCGCTTGCGGGCACACTGGCCTACAAAGCACACCATTTCCTTCCAAGATGGCGATGAATCGAGTGAGCAGGCCTTGGGAAAGTTGGATTGCGCCAATACACATATATTGTATTTTCGAAATTTGATAACCATATGACAGTTCTGAACACCGGTGATAACAATATAAATTAATGAAACCGTATAACACATACTCCAAAAACGGGTGTCGAATTCTCGGAATCAATCATATCCCCAACCTCCCCAGTCAACCAATATAACCGCGATAATCTTCAACGCAGCAATTCTCTGAGCCATTCCCTAGTGCCCAAATCTGCTGAACACCAGGCCCCACAGGCGCGGGACAAAAGTCCCTCGACCAGCGCAGTATCGAAGTTACAGCACTGGTCAGGATGCCGAGCCGCTCCCATATCAAATCGAGCTGCGGATCCGGGCCTCGCAGTCCAAGGCGAAACTCCAGTTCATCGACCTCAAGTCGTTCCAAACGGTGCATGATATCGACGAGGGCGTCTGTTAGGTCCCGTCCGACCCGCTCCTCGCGCTGAACTGATTTTGGCATTTGGCTCATGCGCGCTTCCGGAACTTGGGCTGGCATCGGGACCGGTTGCTGGGCTGCGGAGGCGGTCATATTTTCACCGATCGGGCGTATTATTGGGGTTGCTTGGTTTGCGAGGTGTCTGCCGTTTGCGTACTGTGGTTGGAGATTGGGAGGGACGGGGCCGGGGACGCTTGGCCCTCCGCATTGTGGAGCCATGGTAAGCTAGGTAATTATCTCCTCTCGATATTCAATCACGAATCTAAAAATAAAATCTGAGAGAACGATAGCTATATTACAATTATCTTTGTGAGGAATTGGTAGTAGGCTGGTGAGATATTCCAAGGGAAAACACCTTCTGGACTTTTCAGATAGATATAGAGACGTCTGTGGGTGACACCTTCCTTGATCAAGACCAGTTTAGTGGAAAGGACACTCCAAAGCCAAGTTGGACGCCGAAAAACGTGTCAAAATACTCGCGCGCGTAGTACTCTATAGCTTTATGGAGTGTATGAGTCTTTTAAGTCTCTTCGAGTCATAAAGGGATAATAGGGACCAATCTCAACTGGGTACTTCTTGCCATTTCCCCATGTTGTCGAAGGGGTATTGCAGCATAAATCCTCGATTGCAAGAGATTGGCAAAGCGCGATGTTAAGATGCCCCGTGAGTTCAGTTGAGTTAGGCATTTAGACGTCAGCCAACACCGAACGAAACTTTGTTGATAGCTCTCTGGAGGACTCCTGAGCAATCAAGATAATGTCTGAACTGAGGGCCTAAATCGGGAAGAAGGCGTATTCGGGCTTTCGCCACATTACGAATCCAGAGGAAGAACTGTTTCGAAGAAAGGAAAGGTGATGCTTGACGGCCAAATTGGAATCAACCCAGCGAAGGGGAGATTGGCTGGAAACTTGTTCAAACACGAGCGCGGAGCGAAATCACATGATAGGGCCTGGGGTTTAAAGAGATCAACCTCCTCTCCTGGTAGAAGTTGGTAAATAATCTGTCTGCAAGGTTAGTTAAGAGCTCTCATCAAAATTTAGTCATGTCTCGTCATGCTCTCGTTCTCGGTGCCTCTGGCATCTCTGGTTGGGCATGTACCAACCAGCTGCTGCACGATTATCCACGGCCGGGGATCTGGAAACGTATCACAGGCCTCACAAGAAGGCCGATGGATGAAGAAGAGCGCTCATATTGGCCCAAACATGACAGGTTAAAACTTGTCTCTGGATTCGATGTCCACAATGACTCGGAGGAGGTGCTGGAACAAAAGTTTAAGGAGAAAATCCCGGATGTGAATACTGTTACACATGTCTATTATCTAGGTAGGGTGATTTCAACTCAACTTGATGTATCCCCTTGGCCAATGTTCCTGGTGACGAAGCGCAGAGTCGCCCGGGAATAGGTAGGGCTTAAATGATAAGTCTGACGGAGAACTGTCCACAACAGTGCATGATCCTCCCCCTACGCCTGGAGATAAAGATCCACACGCGATCGGCGTGGGTGCGCTGCGCAAAACCGTCACGGTTCTCAACAATCTGGCTCCGAATCTCGAATTCATCCACGTCCAGTATGGCAGCTTTATATATGGAACATGCTTCCCCGTCGATTTCCACTATCCTCGGCCACTCTCAGAGTCTCTGCCATCGCTCCCATCGCCGTATGGAGGCTTTTTTAGTTTTTCCAAACTGACAGATTTCATGGAGAACTTTTCTTCTGATAAGCCCTGGAGCTGGTGTGAGACGAGGCCAAGTGATGTCATTGGTCCGCCACCACGAATTCCCCCAGATCTCAAGTGAAACTGCTAAACATGGCTTCTTCCTAGGTTTTGTTCCCCGGATCAACATGTATAACGCGGTGTATCCAATCGCGACTTACCTCTCACTGTATGCGTATGTCAACGGCAAGGGCGCCGAATGCCCATTCCCAGGAAGTTTTGGGGCTTGGAAAGCTTTGACCAATGATGGAGGAGCAGATATGATTGCAAAAGCCGCTATTTACCTGTCTCTGCTTGCAGACCCAGCCATTAAAGGGCAAGGATTCAATGTTGCTTCATCAGATACACCATGGAATTGGGAGGCGAAATGGCCCGCCATATGCAGCTGGTTTGGGCTGGTGGGGATGCCTCCAATCGATAAGTACAAGGATCAAACGAGAACGCCGGGGCCAGAGAAGTATATCAGTGCCCACAAAGACCAGTATAACCTGATGGTAGCAGAATATGAGTTAAAGGGGTGGCCCGTTGTTTCCCCCACAATGGATCCTTCGGTCGAAAATTGGGCTTTGACCAAGCTCAATGCTGATGCAAATATTAACCTCCAGAAACTCAGGTCCGTAGGTTTCACCGAGGAGGAAGATCCAAAAATTTCCTGGTATACTGCTTTAGACAGAATGAGAAAGGCCAAAGTTATCCCATAGGAGATGACCAGGTATACCATTGGCAGTACCACTGGGAACCCTCGAGCCGCAGGCCCTATTTCGCTCGGATCCAAGCTGTATATTCTCTTCCCTGATTTCCATATCTTGGTTTTCAACTATTATCGCGACAAGTCTCGGAATATTAGGAATAGTGAAACTGTAGAGTTATCTCGTGAAATCAACAAATCTCGGTTCCTCCCAGACTGTGATTCGGCTTCAAAGGTCGCTTGCTTCATCATGCGATTTCCTGCGCCCCTCTTTGCTCACTCTGATTGGGGTCATCGCTCATCGATGGCTTCGCAACCAGTGAAACTTCAAGCGTATTCTAAGTGCAACGGTTATCATTGTCGGCGAATCGGGATAGTAAAAAGTAACCGGATTCCGGTGTTAAGTTACTCATCATCTAAAGAAAGTGTTGTGATTTCCTTTCCGTGAAGTGGCGGTACTCGGAAACGCCTCAGGGCTGGCCTGGACTCGCTGGTAAGGACGAAAACGAATTTGAGCTAGGAACAAACCTGGAACAGAACTTGACAAGCAACAGTCTCGCCACTTTGCTGTCAATCTTTGCATAGCCAAGGTAAATTAAATAAATCGGTTTAAAGATAGAGCGCAGCCCAGCTCTAATTGTCGAATCTCTTGACATCCAGCTGTTCAGAAAATCGATTCGGGAAACCCTCACATTAGAATCACATATCGGAATTGACATTCCTCCTTGCACTTACTCCGTACTCAGCACTTATACCACACACCAGTTGTTCCACAAACTTCTCTAAACATGTCAACTAAGCCTGTGACGAAGCCAAAAGAGCATAAAAGCTCAGAGATCGATGCCTCTCCCTCGTCCGAGCATGCGAAGAATCGAGACTGGAAACCTCCAAGCTATGGCCGATCGCAGAGTTGGAACGAGCAGGATCTGAGGCACCAGATGCAGCAGAGGTTTACCGGGATGGAAAAAGGCAGAGAGGCCGGGTTTACTGAGATGAACGGACACGGTAAAAAGGGATGAGACGGAAACTTCTCTACTTTTCGGAAGACGGTTCGGCGTTTGGCATTTGGCGTTCAGGTCTGGTTCGGTGACGGTTAACTTGGAACTATAGTAAGTCCTTCCTGAGCTCGACGACATCCCAACTCAATTCCTGCGCAGATTGCTAATTGTCGTCTGTCTGTGAAGGGATGGTTCCAGATGCGGTTTGAACCTCAGGGCATCAAAGGCTGTTTCGACACGGATTAGACATTGTGCTCGCGGTTCCATAATGACAATAGTGTTAGTGAAATGAAACAATGAGCAGAATGAGAATATGAAAGGAAAACTGGCTATGTAGAGTGAAATGGGAGGCTTCAGATGGCTCTTCACTGTATTTTTATAATGCGCTGAAGCCCTGTCACTACAAGGATAGCCACTCAAATAACATGATTAGTCAGCAGTTTATGCTTACGTAATTCAATATTCACTATCAAGCCGTCTTTTGGCTGGAAAGTATCTCGTGAAGACGATCCATAGATGTGGTGGGCTTATTCCAGAAAGAAGACGAAGCGAGCTGTTCCTTTGCATTTCCAGTCAGTTCAGTATTGCACTGATGCGACATTGGAGCAAATTACAGCCACACCTGTGCTTTTTCTGACGTCTTGCTCAAGGTCATCAAGCTACCTCCAAGCTCGCGCTATCTTCAATAACCAACAGTCCCGACAGCTCCGCACCCAACGTGCTTTCGACTTCGCCGTTTGATGATAGTTTCAACCGATGCCCAATGTGGCCTTATACTCATCGTTGCCCTTTTCTGTCGTATCTCTTAAATATATCAGGCCAACCGACACTGAGCCTCTCACCGACCTTTCGAGTAGCCGGAGGAGGGAACGATGGATCGTGGACGGAAGCGTATGTCGTCTGCACTTATATTGGGATCGTATAGGGGCATATCCTAATATTTCTTACACAGGAGAGCTTCGTGACCTGAACAGCAAAGCATGGGCTGGGGAGATAGGTATTTTTCCTGCGACCCCGCAATCCGCATCGCCTACGCATCCATGATGGAGAACCGCAGAATTAACTTGTGGACATCTATACAGATATTTTGCCCGTCAATAAATCGCTGGATTCTGCTCTGAAGAAGAACACTGCATTTATCAAACGTCTCCGAACCGGGATCACCGCTTCTGCCCAACCTACGTTCCTCACCGAGATTCGTACCCTTTCGTTACATAAATACCTTTCGGAGATTATATCCGCACTCTATGAGGGTACTTGCAAGCTGAAATCTCCTGGAGAAATTGCAGCAGGAGTAGAAATTGCAAGCGCACTCCACCAACGTTTCGGCCCCAACGAATTCACAAAGCAGTTCGGCTGGCTTTTGGGTCGTGGTATGAGCACTCCGGATAAGGCGCAACTGAAAGCTTGGTCTGCGGATGTACGCGAAAGAGAAGAGAAAGAACGGCTTGTCCGTCAACGCGTTCTGCTTCGCGTCGTGACGGAACTATGGTTGGTGGGCGTTTTGCGCACCCTAGATGATGTGGAGCGACCTGAGGATCTGGGAGCAAAGGGGAAAGATGGAGCACCGACTGCGGGTAGCAAGGTTTCTGATGGTCAGTTGAAGGGTAGACAGCACCAAGTCCCGCCTAAGCCCGGCCAGGAGGCGGACCCATTCCCTCTAGAGGTTATCAAGGACCTTCTTGGCTATGATCGCGAACACCAAAACCTTCCACTAGCGGTTTTGTTCGCTAAAAATTATTATTGGGATATTATGGGCATTAAGAGAGTCGATGGGAGCAGAAAGAGTGTCGATGAGTCGGGTAGCAAGGAAGTTCATGAGACCTCCGGCGACGAGTCCACAACCAACATTGACTCAGCGGACGATCCACCTTTGATATCCGATGAAAAGTTACAGACACGGTTCAGAAACATTATGGGCAAATACTTGGAAGATGTGAAGAAGCATGTTATTCGTGACCACAAGGCCCTCGCGATGCTAAGCCGGCGCAATGCGGAAGCATATGTGAAGAGTGGAGAGATCCTGGAAGACCGACAATCAAATTTTGAGAAACAATCAAAGGCGCAAGAGAAGCTAGTGACGAACACCCAGACTCTTTGTGACATTCTGGGCTCAGATATGCCTGACTTGGCGGAAAAGGAAGCGTTAGACAGTCTTAGCAGCGGAACTATTGGCCTTGTGAAGACTGGTGAATACCTACGCGGACAAGGTGAAGGGCCAGGTATCTGGGAAGACGAAGAAGAACGTCGCTTTTATGAAAACCTGGTGGATCTTAAAGGCAAAGTCCCAGCAGTCTTACTTGAAGACGGCAAAAAGAAGAAAGGTGAAGGTGATGATCAGGCCAGAAATAAAACTGATGCAGAACTCGCAAATGGTGCCACCTCTGAATCCAAAGCCGAAGCCCTTGCACAAACTGCCGATATCACAACTCGGGAAACCGACGATCAGTCTACCGCAATTGTCAACAAGACTGTTGGCGCTCAAGTAGACGCCTTGCTTGCCAAACTCCCGGAACTCCAAAACAAAGATGCTGTTGACCAGTTAGCCTTGGAGTTTTGTTTCCTAAACTCCAAGGCTTCCCGCAATAGATTTATAAAAGCTGTGCAAGAGGTTCCGAAGGGCCGTACGGACCTACTCCCTTTGTACGGGCGGTTAGTTGCCACTTTAGGGCAATATCTCCCGGATATTCCTCAGGGCTTGATCGCTTATCTCGATGAAGAATTCCGTAGCCTCCAGCGTCGCAAGCAGAAGGAGTTCCTTGGACAAGTGCGAACCAGCAACATTCGATATCTTGCTGAACTTACAAAATTTGGCGTTGTGCCCGAGCATGTCATATTCCACTGTTTCAAAGTCAGCCTTGATGACTTTTCCAGAATGAATATCGAAATCATAGGCAACTTGCTTGAGAACTGCGGTCGCTATTTACTTAGGAATCCAGAGACCTCGCCCAGGATGGCGTCCTTCCTCGAAACTCTTGGGCGAAAGAAGGCGGCACAACATTTGGGACAGCAGGAGCGGATGGTCCTTGAAAACGCGATGTACTATGTTGATCCTCCTCCCAGACCCGCTATTCAACAGAAAGAGCGCACCCCGATGGAATTGTTCGTGCGAAAACTCGTTTATCTTGATATGAACAAGCGCAATTATCCGAAAATACTGAAATCTATTCGAAAATTGCATTGGGAAGAGCCAGAGGTAAGTCCGACCTACCCATTTTGAGAGCATATATGCTGATTCAAGGGATTGAACATTAGGTTGTCCACATATTGGAGAGTGTATTCGGCAAGCCTGCCAAAGTCAAATATGGGAATATTCATTTACTGGCCCTGCTTGTCAGCGCTCTCTATCGCTATCATCAAGATTTCGTTATTGATATTATCGATAATACACTTGAACGGATCACACTTGGCCTGGAACAAAACGACTTCAAGTTTAACCAAGAGCGAATTGCTGATGTAAAGTATCTTGGAGAGCTTTACAACTATAAAATGGTTGATTCGCCGGTGATATTCGACACGTTATATCGTATTGTTACCTTTGGGCATGGTAAGCTTGCGCTTCAGTATGGTTTCTGATATTTATTAACAGTTCACAGAAGGCGGCACTCCCGTTCCAGGAAAAATCAGCCCGTTAGATTTACCTGATGATTTTTTCCGCATTCGTTTAGTTTGCACTATGCTTGAGACTTGTGGGGTTTGTTTTGATCGAGGAAATGCTAAAAAGAAACTCGATTTCTTTTTGACTTTCTTTCAGGTGGGTGCGGACTTTCGGATATCTAACAGCGGTGCTAATAGTACTAGTATTACATTCATACCAAGGATCCTATGCCAATGGACATAGAATTCCTTGTGAACGATACTTACGCCCTGACACGCCCTCAATGGAAGTTTGCAACTGATTTGGAAGAAGCAGGCCACTTATTCGGGGAAGCAGTAGCTCAAAACTACAAGGTCCAAGATGCTAACAAGACAGCGGAACCCGAAGATGAAGGCGAGAGCTCCTCGTCAGAGGATGAGCTCGAGGATGATGGAGAGGGTGAAGAAGATCAATCTTCTAGCGAAGAGGCTGACGTATATTTCCCACCTACAGACAATCACGTTGGCGTTTACTAACAAATAGATAGGCGGCTGTTGATAACACTGATCAAGATGCGGAAGCCGAATCAGATGAAGAAGAGCAAATAATTGTCACCCGACAAGAAGAGGAGCGTGACCCAGAAGCTGAAGCCGAGTTTGACCGTGCTTTTGAAAAGATGATGGCCGAAAGTATGGAGTCTCGTAAATTTGAACGCAAAACGATGTTTGACGTACCACTGCCAATGAGACGTACCACTCGCGAACCCACCGCAGCCGAGGAGGGAGAAAGCCACCCAGCAGCACCGAATATGATGGCATTTTCTTTAATGACCAAACGTGGTAACCGACAACAGGTAATTTCGGCAATGGTTCTCGGTGTGATATGGTTTATAGACTGACCATATCTCAGACACGCACCATTGACCTCCCTTCAGATTCTAGCTTTGCGATAGCCATGAGATCTCAGCAACAAGCTGAGCGTGAGGAACAGCAGCGCATCAAGAGTCTAGTCTTAAATTATGATCTTGGAGATGACAATGACATCAATGATGGTGAGGCAGATAGTTCTCTAGCAACGTTGTTTTATTTAGCGAAACTGTCAATACTAAGATGATACATAGGCAGCGACAAACGAAATTCCTCCAAGCCTGAGAAAGGGAGCACAAGCCGGGGATTCCGTGCTCGTAAATTACAACTCAGTGATGTCGATTGGTAGCGGTTACTGCTACAGAGTCCGCTTAGGTTGTATCCAGATGTGGTCTCCCTGACCCTTCTGGCATTTAGTGCATGTCCGATGTCGTTGGTGTCGCTTCGCTGCTGAAGTTTTGGAAAGGCTTTGACCGAGAATTGCTAACTACATAAGTTTGTTACCATCCTCAAGTGCGCTTGGCCAAAGTACTTATCCTACAAAGTACCGAATGCGACAAGAGGACAGTGATGTTGAGTGGGAGTACGGCCTAATGTCACTCCGTGATTCTGCAAAACCGGCCCGGTCTGGGTTAACGGCAAGGAGTTCCATGGGTGTATTACCTTCGGCTATGATTGGGGCCTTGGATAGCTCCTCCCGTATGTATCCATTATTTTTGGTCTTTCGACGGGGGTATTGGCTGACTTCAGATTTAGGAATTCCGATAGTAGGATCTTTACACTCGGCACATCGTGGTAAGATCCTACACTTGGAGTCCTGCGGTCACCTGGCGAGGATTTCTATCAAATCAAGCAGTACTACCACCGAAATACCGAACCACCAGTGACATTTGTTGATTCGATCAACAATTATAATGTAGGCGCCAAAAGGAATGATATTTCTCCTAGGGGACTATTGTCATCCTGTTTTCCGTTGACCATTGTGGTGTAGAACGTCTGCTGGAATTCGTCGAGGCGATCATTATTGTGTGATCCTGAAGAATGAAAGCACAATACTGATGTACTCGATGGATAGTTTAGTCGTTTATATGAATCTAAAAAGCATCCTGAAATTCTTATGATAGGGTCGCCTAAATGAAGAGCTATTCAATGTTTTCATGTTCATAATTTCTTGACCCATTTAGCTTTCTGTCACACAGAAGCTATGTCTGCGTTCACCATCAGATCGGCTTCATACTCTCTTTCCAGCGAACTTCAACCAATTCGCCAACTCGACGGTAAACAGCACCGGCTTTGTAGTTATCACTTCAACCATGTCGGCGCGAATATGATTGCTTGTGCTGACTTGTCCGCCGAATTCGGTTTTCCAGTCGTGCACGTCCCATTCAAAGCCCTTCGTGTTGATTACAGAAGGACCACCAACTGGTATGATTCCGACGTTCTCGGATAGATAACATTGCTGTACTGTACTAGAGACCAAAGTCTCTTCATCAGAACAACCGTGGACTTTGGATCCCGGAGCTGATTCCCGGCGAGGTTGTGCATCCAGTAGGCTCCCGCCGGGTGTGAGAATGGTATTTTCCCCCTCGTGAAGGAGGAAGGTGATGCTTTCTTCCGAGATTAAGTACAAACCTCCAGTTGGCCTGTCGGCAGCAGACGCGGGGGATAGCGACGCAGAATAGAGATGGTGGATTTGGGAGAAAGCTTGGTCGACACGGCCACCCAGGCCGCCCAAGACCAGAACATCTAAACACGGCTCCCCATCATGGCTATGCGTCTGGTGAGTGCCTGTGAATCGAGGTGATGTGGAACATGATACTGATAAAACGGATTGGATATTTGCTTTGAGGTACCGGAGACATTTTGTGAAGTCTGTGGAATACTGGTCTGGATCTTCGATCACAGTGACATTCAAACCCTCGTAGTGCTTTCGAGTGTCCAGGCTGATGGAATCCAGGTCTCCCACAATGGCATTTGGAAGCTACTGGTCTCTGGTTAGTGGTGAGGGTCCAGGAGTGGGAGATCGGACCTGAAGAGGTCATGGCAACTTTGTGATTACCTCCGTGGATTCAACCCCATTTTGCTTCATGAGATGATAGAAACGATCAGCGCCGCCATCGGCACAGATGACGAAGCATGCTATCGTATTTGAGTTAACCAATGCGCTAACTCTGGATAAGGGGGTAGCAAGGAATATGCATACCATGGCTCTTCAATATCTGATAAGCGTTCGGATTAACCGGCTGGTTCAGGATCAGAAGTGCATAGGGCGTCAAAGGACGGGCCGGCCGGAAGTACTTTGTCGGATCCCATTCCATTTTATAGGATGTGCAATAAAAGGTCAATGCTGCGTCTTCCCCTTCTTAACCCCCAACTGGCTGCAGAATCTTTTGTTTGTCGCGCAACTTTTGATATCCAAGATATTACCATGACGTAATCACGGAGCACGGCAAAACAAGTCCCCGGATGGCGGTTGTGCTTACATAAGCCATCGGCAATTCAGTTTTCTTTCTGCTTAACAATCCATCAGGGCGATCTCGAAGACGCTCAATTGGGTCGGATCCGTTCATTCTTTCGTTCAATGGGCTTTCGTTTCTGATGAATTAGTGCTTGCTCAAGCTGCTTCTTATTCTACTAACTCACAATGTTCAGATCAGCTTCAAGGGCTGTGCTCCGCCAGACGCAGCCCTTCCGGATTGCGCACCGCCAGACAGGGCAAAGATTCATAAGCACAGCTCCTCCGTCGCAAAAATCGCGGAGTTGGAAGAGTACAGCAGTGAGATGGGGTCTCGCTGTAGCTGCAGTGTATTACTACAATACAAGCACGGTCTTTGCCGAGCAACCTTCCCGTGAGAGCAACCTAGATATTTGATTTTGTCATCTACGGGGCCATTGGCGACTAACACGACTAGAGGCAGTCGCTCTTGAGCAGCCTTCACAGAAAGAAAACGACGACGACTCCTCTCTACCAACCATTGAATCCGTTGCTGCTGCTAAGAAACGAAAACCTGCGCCCCGTGCTCTCAGCCCTTCGACTTCCCAAACGTCAGACTCCGACCATGAACTTGAGGAATCCCCCCACTCCCAAACGCCGCAGCTCACTGGGGCAATAGCAGAAACCGAAGAATCAGGCCCAGCCGATGCTCAACCTCTTCAGCTTTCTGCTTCCGAATTGGAAGAGGAAGCTGGTCAGGAAGGCGCGTTCAATCCCGAGACGGGTGAGATCAACTGGGACTGTCCCTGCTTAGGCGGTATGGCGCATGGGCCATGCGGTGAAGACTTCAAGGAGGCGTTCAGTTGCTTCGTATACTCTACGGAGGAGCCGAAGGGCATGGATTGCATTGATAAGTTCAAGTACGTATCTTCCGACCTTGGGCGTGGACTTCCAGGTCGAGTATCAGGAATTGTTACTCACAAGGTTAAATAGGAATATGCAAGACTGCTTTAGACTCCACCCAGAGATATACGGTTCTGAGTTGGACGAAGACGAAGTCGATGAGCAGCTCAAGGAGCATATCGCTGCCGAGGATGCAAAGTCCCAATCTTCGTCAAACCCCACTACTTCTGATGCGCCAGTGTCAGAGCATGAGGAGAGGAAGAGTCTCGAGGTGGAGGACGTTCAGCAAGTACCAATAGAAGGGAAGAAGTCAGAAGGGAAGCCTGAGGAGTAAATGTCTCCCCCCAGATTTTCCTCGTACTGATGAGTTACCATAATGCCAGCGGGATGTTTTGGTTGCCGTTATCCTTTTTCCCACTCATTTTCCAAATCCGTTTCTTGTGCATCGACGCTCTTCTTTTCCTCCTCCCTATTTAGAACGTTGTGTTTGGACAAAAACTGTACTCCACAGTGTACATTATTTGCGATAGAGTTGGTTGCAACATCATCTCTTTTTGAATATTGCTTCAAAGAAATACTTTCGACATTTGGGCTGTGTCCGATACGTATAATCAAAGACCTTTGACAGGCGTACCGAAAGCTAAATAAGGGGCTGGTCTAAAGAAGGACCCTGCTCCATACACCAAAGCCTCCATGGGCGTATATATACTTCGTTCACCTGCCTTTGCTGTCCTCTCTTCCTATTTTGCGTGGTTGTGATCAGAGATAAAAGCCCTCAAATCCAAAAAGGAAAAAAAAAAAGAAAGAAAAAAACACAACCGGCCGAGTACTCCAAAGAAACCAAGGTGGAAAGAAAAGAAACATATAACGCAGGAAACACCGACGGCCCTAACAATAACAACAAAAGATAAATATTCGCCGGATAGGCTCGATATATGACTTATCATTTTCTCAGAATAGCCTCGTACAGGCTGCCCAATGTACACACCGCAGATCCGGTCAACAGCCCAGCCAGGCCGCCCGGAACAGAGCGGACAACTCTGTCCACGGAAATGGGATTATAGACATCCCAAAACGTGAATTTATTGCCATACACTAGATACGAAACCAGCGCTTTAGCAACGTTGAACACCAGGGGGTCAAAATCCGTTTTCGCAGTCGCGCTTGCTGCCTGGGCAGCTGATGCACGGCGCGTCCCGTACGAGTGCGGCTTCACGCTGGGCTGGGTCATTTTCAGGTTAATATTAAAAAAATACGCAAGTACGGAGGGGAAGATAACGCTTGTTGCCAGCCATAGCGAAAAGGGCGCCCAAAATGCAGAAGTCAAGAGGGCAAATACATCCGGGATCTTGACCGGTATGGCAGGGATGTGCAGATTCGGCATTGCCGGGATGGTGGCCAAGTACTGGAAAGGGAGGATCTCGCCGCCGAGGCCGTAGAGCTCTGTCGCGAGGATCAGGGTACCGATCGTGCTCACGCTGCTGAGGCATGAACGCAGCGCGTATGCGCGCTCTTTGAGCCCGGATGCGACCCACGCGTCGGAAACGGATTGGCGGACTCTGGTCGTCTGTTCCTCGATGGCTTCCGTCACGACAGCGGGCGAAGGCGGCAGGGAGGAAAGAAAGCTTGGGTTTGGTCGCGGTGGTGTGCGAACAGCCACATCAGGCACGGAAGGGGATCTGCTTGTCTGAGAAGCGCCGTCGGAGTCGTCTCTGCTTTTAGCGCATTAGCAACAGGGTTTCAGTACACTAGAAGCGCAAACCAAGCAGGCGTCGGCTTGAGGGGAAAAAACGGGGACGAACGTGGCCTCAATCTCCTGCTTCGACCTCGTTGATCTCTTTGAGCGCGTCACACGTTTCGTGGGAGAAATCATATCCTCCATACCAGACAAAAGTTCGGGCTTCGGTTCTCTCTTGATCGGCGATGAACGCGACGGTCGAGATAATCGCTCGTAATAGTCACTCAGCCTCTGTTCGCTTGAAAGAGTGGAAGCATTGGCGCTCAAGTGCTCGTCAAGCGCAGCCTCGAGTTCCGGCTTCTTATAATCATCGTAACTGTCCCAATACCCCGGTTAGAATTATCACTTCAAAGACACGCTTCCAAGTAGCGTCACGCGACAAGGTGGTTGACCAGCAACACAGGTTATGGAAACGAGGGGGCGGTGTTTACTCTTTCAAATCAGACACCTCCGCCAGAACGAGGAGGTCGCTCTTCCGCAGAGCGCGAAGATACGGTAAAGCGGCGGTCATGGCGATTCGACTCAACGATATTCCAAGTCGCGTTACGCACGCGACTCCAACGAGCAAGACTGTGACAACTGTTACCTATATAAATGCAGCGGAAAGTGCCGAGGAGGGGAGGACGGGCGTTGGTTGAGGGCGTGTCGGGGTGTTGGAAATCGCGGGAGCGCATGGATTGGCGATGTTGCTTGTTTACATTGCGATGACGCTAACAACGGGTGCGTTACGTAATCGGGCATGTTTATAGCTATGCTATATTCGGTTAGACAGAATTGGCAGGAATCCTTAGTAAGCTCAAGATCTGGTGGAGGATTTGAATGACTGCCAACAGACTATCTGGATAAAGGATGAACACATCCCTTGATGAGTCCAGAATCCAGGGGACGGTCTGAGTTACTGAAAACACAGACTATCCATGGATAAAGAATGAACGTGTCCTTAATGGCTCCGGAATCCAGTGGAAAGTCTGAGTTTACTGACACACAGCCGTGGTCAATGACAGCATATGAGCCACCTTCTACAGCTGCGAAAGTGTTTAAAGCCCCGATTTCCGGCTTCAAGCCTTTATCTCTCACTATTCCATCTGCTGTTGACAGCTTGAAGGCTTCTTTTTAGCCTTAAGGCTTTTAACCCAGCCTTTTTGAAAACTTCATTCAATATCTTAATGAGATATTTAGCGCTAACAATTAAAAAAAATCCAGAAGGCGATGAATCTCCTACGCGAGCTTGCGGCGATGGCCCACAACGCCGTGAGCTCTTTGAATTCCGCAGATACTGTTCCCGAACATACGCTCTGCCGATGGCAAAGTCTCTTCGGCTATTCTGCTAGGGAAGCAGCTACTCATATTGAACGTCACCGGGCAGATTTGAACCGTCCACGGGTCTCAGATCAACATTGGGCCTTGGTTCGCGAAGCCAAAGAGGCTGAAGGTCATGACAGGGAGAGTTACGAATACTTCATGTCAATCAGCCCGGTGAAAGGCACGCAAAAGAAAGCCGTCATACCCGCAAATGCCCAGTACTTGTGTTTGCTTGAAGGCCCGTTGAAAACAAACGAAAAAGTCCGTGTTGCAGCAGGACTTTCTACGCTCCCTAAAGTCCATAAGGGGCTGGATGAGGACGGCAAGGCCCTGGGTTTTGTGGCCTTGGATGCACAAGCGACCATCCAGCTGCTCTCGGCGTTCGAAGGACAGGCTTTCCAGCCGAGCATCACTTGCATGCTCCCTCCGGCCGCGAAAAAACTCTCCCAAACGACTCTTTACCCATTCCTCGGAGTTGACACGACACTGCCGCAATATCGGCCACAGGGATCCGGTTTCGTTAGGCCTATGCAGTATCAGTACCCCGTCGTCTACTTCTTCTACGGAACTTTGGGCGAGCCGGATCGACTCGTGCGGCTGCTCGGACTGAAAACAGCACCAAAGTTGGAAGAGGCGACTGTGGCTGGTGGAAAAATCAAGACTTGGGTGGGGGGAGATAAGGCTCTGGTCGACGGTTCATTCACTTCCCGTGTTCGAGGCGTTGCGTACGAAGTGGTGTCCAAGGAGCACGAAGATGCCCTTCGACGGTATGAAACCGGCAAATATGAAGTGGTCCGATGCAACATCCATACCGAAGAGAGAGGCGTGGTACGAGGGCTTACATTTCGATTCCGGTGCTCGGACGAAGCGGCGTGATATCGGCATCGTGAATCCTTCTAAAATTCGGCTACGACCTCGCATTCGAGCCGACCTTGTATTTTTGCGGTACCGAATCGATATAGCGGAGTATAATATGAAAACAAGGGAGCCCGGCACCGGGACAAACGTCTAACCTACTCTGTAACGTCCTTTCCGTTCCTTTGCCATGTGGGGATCACAAACAATACAGGTAAGCCTCTCAAAGGATTCAATCTCTTTGCCGCGAGAATGACCAATATCACATAGATTATGATGGAGTTCGGCCCAGTCAACCCTACCCGGGGAGGCGCCCCACCTACTAGGATGTTTGACAAGACACGGGTGCTTGGTGGGCTGTAATTCCAAACTTATAACGGGCATGTGCTTGTTTCTTTACTTTCCCTTTTTCATCTTTTTTTAACGAAAAAGGTTGTCAGCCACTGCATGCTACAGCTATTGATGTACTTATTATAATGCATTTTTAAATGTCTGCCTTGTTACTTACCCAGCAATAAATCCGTTTGAGTTCTGATTCCCGTACAAAGCAAACCTCCAACATGCACGGAGGCACAAGCACTTGATTGGCTTATTCCCCTGATGAGAAAAGCCCTGCTTGTATGAGTGGTCAGATTTACTACTAGGTATGCTTACTACTAATAGTTAAACTTAGTCATCTAGATTCGAGCTTCAAATAGGACTGAGATCCCTCTGTTCTCTCAGGTTGATGTTGAATCGGCCACTGGTTTCTCTTCCATGGTGGTGACGGGAGTACAACTAGTTCTATATTAGCTTCGACTTCAGCTGGGCCCCAGAATAGTTGGTCAACACGCACGAATTATTATACTAGATATCATTCAATTGTAACTAGATCGAGTACGGCGAACAATCTCTCATGCTGAGACTCAGCCAGTTTTCAGTGGCTTAAGACAATTTAATATGACATTGTGAAGTAATTACGTGAACATAATGCATCCCCTTGTAATCCTCCCGTGTCCCTAACTTTGTCATATCCCATCAAGCCGTGCTATTTATTAGGGAGTTCGGCATCGGGGGGCTTGGCGAGGATGTAGTAAAGAGAACCAGTTATAATGGCTTCGTTTTTGAAGTAGAAGGGATCTGATCCTGGAATGAGTGAGGGACCGTCTAGGACCCTAGGTGTGCCTTCAATTATGGACACTGGTATTATATAGGCCGCTTTCTCCAGCATCCTCGTATTTCCTGTTGTTCTCCAAACTTGTAGACCAAAGCCCTCTGATAAAAGAGGTATTTGCGCCGCGCATTTGAATAATATGGGTTTGAGGCTTTCTTCATTGCATATGGAAGTGTGTTGGCCTCTTTCTTGCCACTGCGCCTTCGAAAGAAACTCCACGAGCTCATCGATGGGGCACTTTCTAGATGTGGGACGATTTCAGAGCCCGAATAGCGATGTGAGGTATTATTGATGGCGTCTGTAAAGAAAAAAATTTAGTATTATAATGAATGGCACAGGGTGCTTATCGCCTACCTTTGCTTTTAATCGATTGATAGATAGTGTATCCTTAGCGACCCATAGCCAATTAATATCAGTTGGCAATCCTCGAGAGTTGAGTGGCATCAATGCAAATCGTGTCATGCAACTTGGCGAGCAATGTGGTAAGGGCCAGAAGAAGTGGGAAATATTCCATCTCTGAAGAATTTCATGGACTGATTGATGAAGTCTCGCATTTCAGAGCGCTCTTAGACAATCACTTCTTGCATACTTCTTCACAGTTGACAATTAGGCCAAATCTGGGCCTCCAGCACAATAGTCTTCATTCCAGATTTTTCATTGCTGAGAAGAATGTCTTCATTGCTTTCTGGTGATGATAATGATGTGTGAGAAGTTAGGTCTAATGAATGTATAATTAGAACAGGAATGAGCTAGTGATGTAGAAGTAGAAGGAGGATGCAGTAAAAGCAAGTATATAGTATATGCTGTGAGGGCCTAGAGCCCTTGCTGACCTGTAGGAGGATGCAGTTAAAGCGAGGATATAGTATATGCTATGAGAGCATAGAGCCTTTGCTGGCCTGTAGGAGGATGAGGGCAGCTTTGAAGGTTTATATACAAGCAAGGTACTGGAATCTAAAGAGTTTATGAAGAGTTCATATTGATATTCAAGTCACTTTGCTGGAAGTAGAGAAAGGTTTGAAAAGAGTGAAGGAACTGAAAGAGCACTCACATAGAAGCGAAAAGTGATTTTCTAATAAAAGACATGTTGATTAAGTTACCTTGATTCTTTGAGAAGTTGCAAAAGAGTTTGGAGATGCTAGTTAACTATAGTTAACTATCCAAGAGAGAATCTTGGGAAAGACTTCTAAGATGAAATTTATTAGATAACATCATAACATACTGAATCAACTACTTCTGAGACTCACCTTGGACAATGACGGATTATGACATATCCCTTTACAATGTCAAAGAAACAATGAAAGAGGAATATTTTCTTCTATGCCGAGTTTGATTTGGCTGAGCTTCTTGAACTGGCTCAAAGATTGCGCAACGTGACATGCTCGTGCGATTCCAGGCAAGCTATGGGCTGGATGAAGAAACAGCAAAAGCTGTGCTCGCTAGCGAAGCAGCCAGGTCCTTTCTGCCGATGATCAGTTAGTCACCAAGTAAAATCAAGCGAGATGAAAGAGCCTACTTTACTAATGTGGGTGTCGAGCGGCATGCCTTAGCGGCGAAGGTTAGACTGGCCTCGGAGTTGAACAGATCTTTTGTTGCTGATAGACGACTTTGACGTTGGATTGAAGCAGCCGTGAATTTGCTAGAGAACTCTCAAGAGGCGAGCTCGATCGAGAGAAACTCTTGCTTCGAGCTCATTCAGGGGTCCAGTTAAAGGGACCTCTTACCTCTCTCCAAGGATTATGTAGTTGAGGCCAATCTTGAGCCAAATCTTAATTGATCGCCAGACAGTCGTCTATGCTATTGAACATCTATTCAAACCCGCAAAATAGTACTATACAGTGAAGTTCTATTGCACACGCAAGTATGCGCATTTGCATCCCATTCCATCAAATCCCACCAAGAACGCCATGCTGTATGTCCGCATACCCATAGTTGAGAATGACCCAAGCCTAAGCCTATCCGGCTTCCGTCATATCGAAGATGCACTGCTTAACTCTTGTGCTCCCCAGTAATGCTCCATGCGCTTCAGCAAAAATTGATAGAGAACAAGCATCGTCCCACTCTGAACGCTTGTCCAAAGGAAACGGGGGCCCACGCCACGGAACCAGCCGAGTATGCCCTCGGTTTTGTATATTAACTTCAATCCTGTGACCACCGACGAAGTATCAAGGACCAAAGCTCCGGGTTTGACGGTGGACGTTGAGGGTGAGGATGTCGATATTAACCGCGACTGACGCTGAGAGTGTGCCGCTGAGGAGGATGAGGATGAAGGGTGGACATGTTTGGACGATTCTTGAAACGCAGCCTTGATTTCGCTTATGCTGGGTTTCGAGTGCTGGGCAAGTGGATCAGAGACTTGCGTTTGTATTCGCGTCTTAACAACGTCGAGAGGGCACGTTATGACCCCAGCCATACCACCGGCACTCGTGGCTGTCAATATCTCCAACGGTAACCCGATATCTCTGCTTCCTACCCAATCTTTTGCAAGCCTTTGTTCTTGTTCGTAGAATGCGAATTGCAGGGCGGAAAACGGAAGGTCCCGGAAAAGAGTGGCTTTAAACCCGGAATATAAAGCGAAGAATCCCTCCTCTTTGATTATCGTCCGAAAAGCATCCAACGTTGATCTATAGTTGTACCCGGATTGAAAAAAGGGATTGTTGTATCTGCCTTGAAGCTGCAATCGCGTCTTCAAGACCTCCGAAGGAACATATACGAAAGACGCAGCGAGGTCCGCAATCAGGCCTGTTTAGGGCACAAATCAACAAAAAGTACTCTATTACACCCCTTGCAAGGCGCCTAAGGGCGGGTTCACCTACCTCCTGAAAGATATGATATTGAGGGATTAATCCCAGCATCCAGCATATGTCTTTTGCTATATTCATATGTGCCAAAAAATATGACAGTACCCGGGAACGATCCAAGTAACGCGGGAGTAACCCCGCTATATAAACCTCGCCGGACACCTTCCTGTCGAAATATCGTAGCGTAGGACGACGACATCGATGTGTATTTAGGAGGGATATGAGGATCGCCTTGTTGTCTAGTTTTAACCGTATCCAACGAGTGCATCAGCATGTCACCACTAGTTCCTCCGATTCCACCGGCGAGCATTGACTGAGAAAAACCAACTTGTCAGCATTGTCGTCCAACGCCAAAATTTCCTCAACGGAAACTAGGCAAAACGTGAAAGCGCAGAATCAACTAACATGCAGGTAAGGCGGTCTATACTCCCGCTCCTCCTGGTCTTCGTCCATCAATCGCTCTTTCGTCCTTGGTCGTTTCGCCCTTCGCGAATCTTCAAATTCCGCTTCAGCATACTGTCCACGCGAAGCACCGGATACGACGGAGGGGTCATATTTGGGCAATGCATTGCCGGAAGACGAAATGGTCGAAGAGGACGAACCAGTCTGGGCCGATGAGTCTGCTGTCGTCGTTGCCGTCGCCCCGAACAGATTCGTCACTCGCGACACCAGACTCATCGCCACGCGCCGCCGTACAGTCGGACGAAAAGCTTTCCCCGCTCAATCTGTATATCTAAATAGCGCAAATGCGGTGTGGATTCGACGCGCCAAATGTTGTGGCAGACAATGCCGGTTTTGGCAGCCCGTTCACCCCTCCGCGAGAGAAAGTTGCTAAACGATTGGTTTGTGGAAAGAAGGAAAGCGATAGCCGCAAATTTCGAGAGATAGCTGGTAGTCAACACATAGACGACGGATCCGAAAGGACGACAGCAACCAAGGCGCGGAGTGGGTAGCTCGAGCTGAGACGAACGGAGTTGATAACTTGATTCCTGCTGCCTTTTTTTCCAAAATTTCGCTGAAGCTTCGGAGGCTACATTTTTCCGAGTTAGGAGCTTTTTAACTCCGGTGCTGGCTAATGTTTTCTACACAGCTTGCATTGTATAGCCCCGCCAAGAGGCGCAGTGCAGTACCTACTCTGAATCCATCCATTATTTGGGAGAACCACTGCTATTTTCGGCATCGGAAATGTATAGTTTGCTTTTCAGTGACGCTATTATACAGTCGTCCCTGACTCACAAATCCGCGAAGCAATACAAACCTATCAAGCCAAAAAAAAAAAGGTAACAGTAAAGCAGAGGACAAAGGCAAGAAAATGCTCCGTTAAAAAGGGCCATTCATTATCATATCAAACCTCATCTGCTCCAGTCCCGTAATGCACAACAAGAAAAACGGTAGAACAAACTCCATCGGCGTGATCCCGGAAATGTGCAGGGAAGATCGGAAGCAGGAGAAATAATGAAAATTTGACTCAAAACCAAGCGGACGAGCATAATAGCATAGAACATATTTCCAGGAATTAAAAGTACAGAGAGTGTTCGTAGATTCAGTTATCGTCTTAGCTGTTCAGTTTCTCTTGTTTGTATTTGCAATGATCTCCCGTTCGACTCGGTATCATGATATGCAATATACGTTTCCCATATATTTCTAGTGATTGCTCAGTATATCAAACCGGCCGAGAGTCGACTTTCTGTGCCGGTTCGAATGAGCATTTACTGCGCCTTTTTGGCTCCAGGACCGGTTTGACCTCCAATGTAGCGGCTCGTGTCAGTGACTTCGTATACCCGTCTGACGAAGTCCTTGAAGACCTGCCAGCCTTGCCTCACGGCAGGCGGGGTGTTTTGGTGTGAGATGGCGACCTCGACTCTCTGACTCGCATGAGCGACGATTCCCTGTACGTACTTGCTTCCCGCGTATCTTGCACGGAAGAAGGAGAAATACAACACAAGGAGGACCCAGCTGCCACTCGAGAACGTGAGGGCAGTTCCAATCAACCGAATAAGAAGGACCAGTTCGAGCGATGCCACCAAGGCCATACTAGAATCGTAATAGCGTTTGATAAAGTGGCCAATGCTTTCCGACAAGGGTGACTGCTTGGCTCCCTGTCTGGATTGCGAGCTGCCTTCTGCATTCACCTCCGTTGGAGGCTGAATTGTCGGGATTAGATGGCTGCGGGTGAATGTGGCCACGTGGAAGAAAGAGTAGATTCCAAAGGGAAGAACAGCGATGGTGATCTGGCGAGAGTACAGCCAAACGAGAGCGATGACTGTTGGAAACAAATAGTCAGCGGATTAGTGCATTGAACGATGACCGGCCAGGCAGCTACATACGCAAATACAACATGTTTTCGTCACCAGCCAACTTCATAATAATGGCAGGTGCGCCTCCTCTCAAATCACCACGAGCGATATGCGACTTGTAAATCACGATTCCGTATGTTGCTGCTGCAGCGATGAACGCAAAGCGGTATGAAGCCTGAGCCATTCCCGAGGTCGAATTGAAAGTGAGGGCGGACAAGAGATAGCGAAAGACGGCCAGAACGAGGGTAAGGTGGCCTATAAACCAGCCGAATCTATACGCGTTTATCAACCGCAGTCCTTGCATAGAACAAAATGAAAGCACGAGCAGAGGCAACTCACTGTAGCCTCTGGGCAAGCTGCTTGAGTCGCTCGCCCAGTGGTAGCGATGAAGGAGGTGGAGGCGCCATTTATTCAGACTGATTTGAAGCTGTGAATGCTGGAACTGATTCAAAGGATAGCTGAGGAATAGGAAAAGTCGTCGCTCGCAGCCTTTGCAAGGTAGTTGTTGAGAAGCGAAGCAGAGAGACCAGGGTTCTGAAATACAGAACAGCCAGAGTGGTCAGTTTGGTTGGTTTCTGTGGGGTCCGCGGCTGTAACAAGCGTAACAACAAAACAGGGCCTTTTGTCTTTCACTTGCATCATCATCCATTCACTCTTGCAACTTCAAGCTATGATGGCATGTCTATCAGCAATCATCAAAGCAACCAACGCGGCCGTTTTGAAGATACCCATGACCCATTCAAAGTGGCAAACGTCCAAATATCTCCTGCATTGCTAAATATCCACTATCTTGCGCAAACTGGTCTTCATTCAGATGGAGGTGAACCAGTCACATCCTATCCGCCACCGCCAATATACTCTGCATTATAATGGATAACATGCTGCTTTATTGAGCACACAAGGGCCGCAAAAGATCGTTTCTGGCGGTTGAAAGCAAGCTTAGCTTGGACCTCGTCAACAATCTCAAAGAAAGGCCATCAAAAGTACGATTTATAAACCTCAAATCAATTAGCAAAGAAGGGATCTCAAAAGATGACTCCGGACCTCGTTCCCTTGCGAAGACTTGGAAAAATAAAATGAATCATTCAGTTCTCTCCTTGTTGTCTGCCTTTGCTTATTATGTGCCTGCTCCATGGACTTGTCATTTCCCTCTCACCTAGACTCAATTCCTCTGGATCTCCCTCCCCGCCCGTCTGTCCCCCTCTATTTGTCTCGAACACGTTCTACACGAGGCAAGGTCAGATCATCGTTATAGATTTCCACTTCCAAACCCTGGGGCTTCTTCGCCCGGTACCGAGGGCCATTTTTCTTCTCTGGATCCTCGTCGATATCCATCGGGGTGTGTATTCCCAATTGCCGGCGAACCCAGACTCTCTGACACTCCGGGCACGCAACTCTCGTTTTCTCACCCCATAGGCTAAGCTGCTGGAATTTCCACCAAGAAAACTTTGAGTTGTCACGGTCATTGTTGAATTTCTGTATCCCCACGTCCGCTGGGGTGCATTCCGGATTGCCTTCCGCGGTTCCTTCAGCAATCTCGTGCGGGGACACAAAGGGATTCTGAATGCCGGTTCCTGCAACTCCTGAGCACTCTCTCTCTGGACGATTCAAGCATCTATCTAACGGGCGAGAGCGGAGTCGAAGCTGACGCGTAATGCCAGCCAGAAGGAACTTACTCGTGCCAAATTGAAACGGCGACAAGGTCTTTCCTCTCGCCTTGTTCTCCTTTCCGTCACTCCAAGCCGCCTCCAGACCTTTCCAATTCGGCGAGAAACAACCCTGAAGCGCCTTGCCCATCATTCCCACCCTGGTATGCCTGCAGGCATATGTTCTTCTCCATCCTGCTACAGATATTTTCTCACGCTGACGCACGCAGCTGGGACAATATCCGTCCACGTTCAGCGTCCAGTCTTTCCAGGTATCTTCCGGGCAGAATTTGGTCAGATACATCTCCTTTTGGTTTTCTAGTGCTTGCTCATCCAAAGGAACGCCATTTGGTTCTTGACAGTACACGAGACCGTGCTTCAAGTGGCATTTTGCTGTGTGGCCGCAGAGCTGATACCGTTCTTGGGATATGATTCTGCACATGATGGGGAACTAAAACAAAACAGTAATATGATTGTTTTTGTTCCCTTCAAAATAAATAAGGAGTTGGGGGGGTTTGGGGTTATCCAAAAGAGGGAAATAATGGAAAAGAAGTGAGCAAAAGTGAGTGATAAATCTCCCCTCCTTTCCACCAAAAGGCAGATTGGCTGCTCCTTAGCTTCTTTGACAGAAGACTGCTCAGAATGTCTTCTCTCTAAAACACCTTTCTTGATGCGGCTGGGTTTCTGAAGTGGCCAATCAATCCAAAATGGATACTGGGAAGGTAAAATCCTGAACCAAGTTGAAGGCAGTGGCTTTTGTGCTTTATGAAGCTTTCTTTTGGCAAGCCAAAGAAGGTTCTATAGCACGAGACAAGCTTGATGTTCTGCCTCACTTACAAAGCCTTTCATTTCAATCATTCACCGGGCTAAAAAGGCCCATTGTGCTCTTCTTCCTCATAATGAGAATTTCCCTACGAGTGACAATGGTTCTCATAACTAGTCACACCAAGATTGGACTAGGTCATTAACCAAGTGGTTCAGAGAAAGCAAAGGTGACCACGGGATAGTGACCCCTATGTTCCTTGGTAGTGACTGGAATACAGCACTAACACAGACCTTGGATCTACTTCAATACAAAGTTACGAGCTTAAGCGCCAAATGACAGTCTAGGAACCAAACCAAATAAAATAAAAACTAACGTAGACAAATACATGACAAGAAGGAAGCTAACTAAATACTGGAAATGAGCCGAAGAAACCAACGAGCACCGATAGATTCAGGTAGAGCTCAAGGGCTCTCCAGATATCAGTACTGGACACAACCTTTTTTCCGGTGCTATGACGAGGAGCAATAGCAGCTCCTTCTTAGCCTCTACCACACGAAACTCGTCCTCCACAAAGCCATCTACCTGAAAATCGACGATTCCCAACCTGGGCCAATCTCAAATTCGCAGCTCCCCAACAACCCCGTAAACATTAGTTAAGATACTGTATTTTCTCTCCTTCAAGAGCCATGAAGGATAAGAGAGTCAAGGCAAATTTCAACGTCATTATAGAAGTACTCGAGAAAAGATAGGTATAAAAAAACAAGAAAGGAGAAATACAAGAGAATGTCAGAGTCAAAGGAGACAGGGAAGGAGAGGGTGACAGAGCGCTAGATCCATCAGCAAAAAGAAGCAATGCAAAACCAAGCCACAGGAGCCCAAGTGCCAGATCTCCAAAAGAATTTGATGCCTTGAGTTTAAACCATGTATCAGACGTGATTGTCGGGTTTCGGCCCTTTCAGATCCTAATTTCGAAGTGAAAACCCTTTTCGCTTTATCTTGTCTTCGAGCGGTCGTCCACTTTCGAGGCGGGTCTTCTTGTCTTCCAACTCGAGACGCTGCCGGTCCAGTTGTTCTTTCATTTCGCGATGCCGAGCATATAATTCGTCCTCGCTCTGTTTTAATTTGCTCTCCTTTTCTTGCACTTTCTGTTGGAACACCATCTTCATTTCTGCCTCCATCTTGGCAAGCTTCTGTTCGTGAAGAGCGCGTTCCTCTTCCTGTTTCACAGCGGGATTGACCTCCTTGAACACGCTGGGGTCTTGTGTCACACCCATAGCTGTGAGTTTGTCGGATCGGTAGTTCTCGTACAAGACATTGTTGGTGTGCTCCTTGAGCTCTTCCATGTGGGTGCGGATAAGCATTTGTCGCAGTTTCACAAAGTCGCAGTGCTCCTCGTTGTCTACTTCGATGATACCCCATGGGTAGCGGCGGCCTCTCACCTTGTGGCCATTGGAGGTAGTGACTTCTGTGTTTGCGCCGACGACAGCGAAAGGGACCTTGGACATGATCTCCTGGTTCTCAGCAAGGGTTTCTTCGTCATCGAGTTCATAACGGGGGCCTTCGAAGATCTGGATGTTGTGATGGTGGATATCGGCAAGAATCTAGATAGTATGTCAGCAAGCAATCCCCCTGTTTCTCACCACTTGGGGGTGATGGTTAACATACTCTCTGCTTGAAAAGAGCAACTTCTTCATCAGTCAAGGTATCCGCCTTGGCGATGACTGGAATCAAGTTGACCTTGGTGTGTAGGCGGCGCATGACCTCGATGTCAAGGGGCTTCAATGAGTGGCCGGTGGGTTGGATAAAGTACACGCAGGCGTGGACGCGGTTATCGACGATGTTCATACGGTTGACCTTATTTTCTGCGTCGAGGTAAGCATCAAATCGCTGTTCGATGTTTTCGACAATTGGACGCCAGGAATCATCGTTGTTAACGAAATCGCCAAAGCCTGGTGTATCGACAACGGTCAACCGTAGACGAACGCCGTTCTCTTCAATATCGGCGCTAATGGATTGAATGGAGACAGTTTTGGGGATGATATCGAGACTGGGTCCCTTGCGCTCTCTGGGAGGGTATAGGGAGGTATTGAACAAAGTGTTCACTAAAGTCGACTTTCCCAATCCAGACTCGCCTGGTGCAAGTAAGCATGGTGGCACATCAAGGCGGGTTACATCCGCAAGGGCTCGACATCACTTACCGACAACCATAACATTAAAATTGAATCCCTTGCGGACACTCTTGCGGTGCCACTGGTTTGGCAGGTTGGCGAAGCCCACATAGCCGGTCAACTTGCGGCGAACAACATTTCTCATATCAGTGGCGGCCTGAGCAGCCGCTTTGGGGTCCTTGGAGGACACGGTCTGCGCGGCACCGCCACCCATGGGGTTGCTGCGCTCCACGAGCGGTGATGCAGGCTTGCTTGGAGGAGTGCTCACGGACGGAGATGGTCGAGTGGGAGCGGGAATCCCGTTGACAGCAGTAGCTATATTGTCTGTTCTGTCAGTGTCTTGTTGATGTTGCACAGGGTTTGGAACACGACCGGGAAGCGAGTAGTTTGTAACCCTTGAATCACGCCTCGATAGGGTTTCTCGCACACAAAGGCGATAACAATGCCCGCTCTCTGGCGATAAAGGATCCATGATATACTTCCAATAGCAGTAACTCAATTTGTAAGGAGATGCATGAAAAACAAGTGTGCGGAGAATGGAGCGGCTTGATCGAGAGGGGCATCCGCAGAAGACGTGACAAGGAACGGGGTCTGAAGCAGCTTACCCATTGTGTCGATGGATCAGGCGGGAGGTATGGATTCGAAGACAGGCAGGATTTCGTAAGGCGCAGAGGAGAGTCTAGAAGGCGAGGGCAACTACCTGGTCAGCAATCAAACGTGATGGGGAAGTGGCAGGATGGTGTCAAGACAGAAAGAGCTGCGTAAGTGCCAAAAGGCCAGCTGGAGCAAACGTACAGAATTGTTTCCTAGTCTGAGATGATGAGGCAGAGGGTCCCAGGCAGTGAATGAGAACTGAGGGCTGCTCGGGGCGGGAATGCTTTCACTTGGAATCTCAGGGAGGAGGTCTGAACGAGAGGCAGCCCAGGAGCGAGCAAAGAGGAGTCAAAGGCAGGACAAGCACAGCTTGGAGGAAGAAGGCGGAGGGAGACTGAACGAGAGAATTCCAAAGTTGGCTCCGCAGCGAGGATGGGAGAGACGAAGGGGGATGTTCTGTGCAGACAAAGCGTCCTAGACAGGAAGAGACAGCAGGAAAGGGGGTTGACAAGTACTTTTTTGGGACGGAGCGCGCTGGTTGGCTCGGCTGGGCGTGTCTCTATTTCCCGTTTGGGACTGGTCTGGAATGCGTAATTTTGTTTTTTTGCTTTTTGGTTTGCTGTGAAACGCTGTGCGGTGGACAAAACGGCTGTTGGTATGTGGATGGCTGTGGCTCTGTGCGGCCAGAACAGGGCAGGACAGGGTGTGAGAGCGATATGGCGCTGAACAGACACTGTTCAATTTGCGATGCTGCTGAGGGAAGCACAGTTACATCTTCCTCTCTTTGGGCCAGGGGAGCTTTGATGCCGTAATTTACACGCTCTTTCGCAAGATGTCGAACCACGGATACAGTCAGGGGATCACCCTCGTGGTGTGATTGGTGGGCTCTGGAAAGTTTCATCTGTCGGACCCAATCAATGGCCGAGAATTGCATGGAATTAAATTTAGTGGAAGTGCGGACTTGGTACTGATACCGCGTATTTAACGGTCGGCTGTCTCGCTCGTTACCTGCGTGTTGTGTCACGAAGACAGATTCAACTGATGGGCATTGGATCAGGTCAATCTGGCATCAACAGCAGTCTTCTCCCGTCCACGCAAACAGAATATGACAGGTGGGGTCAGCACATGGAGAGAGAGTGCTGAAACAAGCCCGCAACTCCATTTTACTACCGAAGATCGTTGATCATGCAATTTCGCAAAGTGCTCTTATTAAACCCCCAAACGTCGACCAAAATAGCTGAACTCGAGGCCTTTCATCTGCTAAGGAACACCAGGCTTGAGCACCTGGAGCAAGTCAGCGGTTGACACCCGTGAGCAAGCATCGTTATTTAGAACAAAAAGGTTTCACGAATCCTCAACAACACATTGGAAGCGAGGGACCATATTTGATATCCAAAGGCACAAAACGAGTCAAAGAGCAGTCAAGTGATAGTCCAAGTGCTCCGTAGAAGACGTTTCCGCACATGTACTCTGTAATTTTGAATTATATCCACCCGACAGAATCTTTGGCTCTGAAAATATGGAGTACTCCGTCCTGAGTTTCTCTGCTGCTTCCCGTGGTTGAGACATCGGGATGGCGCCAGGGTTCTGGCTCGCGGCGCGTTGATGGCTCGCCCCAAAGGTAAAAAGAAAAAAGCATCAACTGCAGGTCTGAGGCTCTACCATCACCACTGCAACTCCTCCAGACTGACCTGCCCCGTACGCAGGATTACCTTGCGCTGCTGAGTATTTAATTAATATTCCCATTTTTGGATTTGCCTGTTTGCTCGATCGTGAGCTAAAGACAGTTTCAACCCTGTCTCACATCCGTCTGTTGGGGGAAAGTTACGCTTTTCCACCTGAAGGCAATGCTGCTTCTCGCGTGCTTTGTTCTTCACAAGTAACAACCAGAACAGCTCTTCGGAGAGAGCGAAAAAAGGAAAATAAGACGGACTTGAAGCTGGACCCTTGGGTGACTGCCGGCTCCTGGGACGTTGTGAGAACCCTAGACAATCGGTCATGGGCAAGCAGTCGGTGGCTGTGGTTGGGACGGGGATGGCTGGGTTGGTGACTGCATATCTGTTACGACAAGATAAAAATAACCGCTTTGATGTTGAGATATTTGAAGCGGTACGTCACCATTCACCTTGTGCAGGATTGCCTTGCCCTTCCAATGCAGTTGGTGTGTCTCTGTCAACGTCGATATCGACCCTAACATACTCGTCTAGCAAGATCAATGCTCACTGGACTCTGCATCAATCACCGTCTCGGCAAAAGATGGGACACGGACCAGCCGCTGGACCAGCCAATGCCGCGCTTTGACCGTGGGATTTATGCCAATCTGACGGGCATGTACGATTATCTTGGGCATCAGATATCACCAGGGACGTTTTCTTTCTTTCAGCTTTTTCAAG